CAGCCGCAGGAGGAGGAGGAGGAGCAGGGGGGGCAATGCCGACAGGCCAGCCGCTGGCAGGGTTGCATATTCTGGTGGTGGAGGATACGGCAGTGCTGCAGAAGCTAGCTGCGTCCATGCTGAGGAAAATGGGTGCACGTGTGGCTGTGGCGTCGGATGGGCAGCAGGCTGTTACTGCTGTGCTGAGCTCGTGGGCAGATGAAGATGGGTGCTCCAGTGCTGCTGCTGGTGCGGGTGATGCTGGTGATGCTGCTGGTGGTGGTAGTGGTGCTAGTATTGTTAGTGCTGCTGGTGCTGGTGGGAGCAGTGGCACTGGCAGCAGCAGCAGCAGCAGCAGTAAGAGGAGCAGAGAGTTTTAGCATGGCGAGAGAAGCAGTGCTAGCCGGCTCATCTGCAGCAGCAGCAGCAGCAGCAGCAGCAGCAGAATCAGCTGCAGAAGCAGGAGAGCTAGAAAGGGCACGCAGCAGCAGCCCCCGCAACCCCACCAGCACCGTCAGGTCTCTCTTTTCCACTGCTGCCACTGCCTTTCACTCTGCCACTTCCTCCCCCTCTGCAGGTGCCTCTCCCTCTGCAGCTGCTGCTCACTCTGACGCTGTCTCGCCCTCCACGGACTCTTTTCGCAGGAAGCCGCGACGTGGCGGCAGTGGCACTGTCTCCTTCCTCCTCTCCGCCCTCCCATCCGCCTCCCCTCTCTCTTCCAGCCCCCTGGCCTCATCCCTCTCGCCAAGCCCTCCTGTGGCAACAGCAGGAGGAGGGGGAGGAGGAGGAAGAGGAGGGGGAGGTGGGGGAGGAGGAGGAGCAGCAGCAGCTGAAGCAGCAGGAGGGGGAGGAGGTGGGGTTGAGGAAGGTTGTGTGACAGCAGGAGTGCAGCAGTGTCAGGTGACTGAGGCTGCTGAGGCACAGCAGGCAGAGAGGGGAGAGGAAAGGCCCAGGTCATCATTCTCCAACCCGTTTGACCCACCAGGGACAGCTGTGGCAGTGTCGGCTGTAGCGGCAAATTATGGCAGCGATACAGTGGCTGCAGCTGGGGTGGATGTGTCGAAGGGCAGTGGGATGAATGGAGGAGGGGATGCAGCAGCAGCAGCAGCAGCAGCAGCGGATCCCTTTGACATTGTGCTCATGGACTGCCAGGTATGTCACGCCACGCTTGAACGAGAGTGCCATATACTTGACGCTTGAGGCTTGAAGTTTGTGGTTAGGTCCTTGCTCATCCCCCGCCTGTCCGCCCCTGCAGATGCCAGTGATGGATGGGTACACGGCCACAAGGACCATTCGTGCAGCAGAGAGGGGCACGGGACGGCACACTGTCATCTGTGCACTCACCGCTCATGCACTCGCCAGGTGAGATGCTCTGCACTGCACTGCACCGCTTTGCACACTGTCATTCGTGCAGCAAAGAGGGGCACAGGGCGTCACACCGTCATATGTGCGCTCACTGCCCATGCCCTCGCCAGGTGAGATGCTCTGCACTGCACTGCACCGCTTTGCACCCCTTTGCACTGCTTGGCGCACTGTCACTCGTGCAGCAGAGAGGGGCACGGGGCGCCACACCGTCATCTGTGCACTCACTGCCAATGCGCTCGCCAGGTGAGACGCTCTGCACTGCACCGCTTTGCACCGCTTGGCACACTGCCATTCGTGCAGCAGAGAGGGGCACGGGGCGCCACACTGTCATCTGTGCGCTCACTCCCCATGCACTTGCCAGGTGAGGGGATGGCAAATTCTCTGCAAAGACCCGCACCACTTTGCACCGCTTTGCACACCATCTGTGCTCTCCCCGCTCATGCACCCGCCAGGTGGGGGAGGGAATACCATGTATCATCTCGCTTTACCTCTCCCCCTCTTGCCGCCCTCTCTGTACCATCCTTGTCTTTCACGCAGTGACGAGGCCAAGTGCAGACAGGCTGGGATGGATGGGTACCTCACCAAGCCAATCAACATACGGTGCGTGCACTGAGGGAGGACCCTGCATATCATGCCCATCGTCTGATGGTTTCACTTCACCTGCACTTTTGATGGCTATTGTGTGTCCATAGTCTCATATTGACAGCCTCACGCATTTCTTTGTGATTCAACCCATCTGTGGCTGTGTGCCTGAGCTGCGCAGCGTGCTAGTTGTGCAAGCACCTAATAGTCATCTCCCTGCAACCCTGACTCTGCTGCTCCCGTGCACAGGTTGCTGGTGGACACAGTTCAGCGGCTGGTCAGCAGGAACAGGAGGGCCGCAAGGCGGAGCATGAGCAACCTTGGCCCAAGTGCCACTGTTAGTGGCACTGCCTCGGCCAATCAAGGCAGCTTCAGCAGCGCTTCCAGTACCAGCCCTTACACCAGCCCCTTAGGGTCAACTGCTAGTACTACCCGTCCTAGCACGGGCATTCGAACATCATTTTCTTACACATTGGGGGCTGAAAAGTAAGTAAAAGGTAGTTCTTTGTACAGGCTTCAAAAGTGCAGTCTCTGTGTTGTAGTTGAAAGAACTACGATTCAGCAAGTGTGGAGTATAGCTTGGGAAAGATGTAACTGCCGTAGGTAGTAAAATAACACCCTAATGTAAGAAGGCAACGCTGCCGTATAATAAGCTATAACAGTTGTCAATGACCATTGCGCTTCATTCACCAGGAATTGAAACGCCCTGCTTGAGCCGTTCTCGCTTCAGTTTCCTCTGTGAAACGGGTTTCTTCTTCTTGGGAGGCATGACGCTCTGTGCGTAGAAGTACATGGCAGCGTGGCCGACGAGGAAGAGAACGAAGAAGCCCACTACGACCAGGATGACCAGCAGCGTGGGGTTGAAGCCTGAATCAGGTGGCGTTTGACCCTGTAGGATAAAGGGAAATAGAGGAAGCCGTTAAATTCAGACGTCTAAAGCATTGAAAACAGGTCATTTAGACCAGGATGACCAGGAGCGTAGGTTTGAAGCCTGAAGGAGGTGGCATATGTCCCTGCAGAAATGAGGGAGGTAAAAGACGGAATTTGAGAAAGGAATGAAGGGTGATGGAGGAATGTGGAGAATCAGGATCAGGGATGAACAAAATGACACCTGAACAAGGAAAAGGAGAAATTAACTCAACTCCAGGCTATTGAACGAGCAATATATAAGATGTCAGATACGTATAATGTCGGCATCTAGTCCAGCGTAACGCGAGATCCACAAGGAAAAAAAAAATACATCAAAACCACAGAATCTCCATGTTTTACCAATCGAAGGCAATGCAGAGTTTACATTAAATTTTCTGATCACGTCCATTGTACTCGTTCTTCTAAAATTCTAAACAAAAACACGAAAAGCACGGGTGACATTACCTCTCCTGGGCCCGCCATGACGAGGTGTCCTCAGCAACCCTCCTCAGAAATACTACAGGGAAGAGAAGTTACTATACTTGGAAGCTATAAGGATGGAAGGACGAGTAGGATCTGCGAATCTGTGCTGACGAACAAAATTCTAGGTGTGCCTGCGTGTGTCCTCCTGTGCCAAAACAGGGGTAGAACTCAAGGGATCTTGGTGAAGTGGTTGTTGAGAAACTGGAGATGCTGGATTCTAGAAGCTTGATGAAAGAGGGTTGGTTGTCAGATCGGAAGGGGACAACATCAGCTGCAATCCAATTAGGCCAGCGCGGTTCGCAAATGCGATCCCTAACAGTCCGGTCGTCTGGAAGCAGCTGATAGGTCGTAATCTGCCGCGGTCAGAAACAAAAATAAACCCCATCTGGATGGCATGCGATTAGGGGAGCCCCAACCCTAAACACGGGCAGCCGCATGGTTCTGCCCGAAAAAGATTACATTTGCAAACCCGCACTCCCTAAATGAGATCGCAGTTTGAATTGTCCGGATCGGAAGGGCAATAGCCGTTGGTTCCAGTGGTGGTCGCGGCCTCGTTGGGATCAACGACGGCCAACGTGGTGGAGGTGAGATGTTCGTGTTTCGGATAGAAGTTGGCGCCAAAACTATTGACGAACTCTCTGATTGGCTCGCCAGTTCATATTCCCGTAACACTGTAATGTGTACAAATCTGACACATTTCTTTGAAAAAATCAGACATTGCTGTAGCGCGGATTTCCACCTCAAAATTCGACAATCCCAGTGCCTGCCAACTCACTCTCTTTCTTCCCATTTCCTTCGTAGACCTAAATTAGAGAAACCGCTTTGTTCAGTGTTTTTCAGTGGCATGGCGGAATAAATTTTGCTCATTGAGCAGTCCGTGCAGACATCACTAGAACATGCGACGGCCACAATGTCATGGCGGCCGTGCTCAGCTCACGTTCGCTCTCTTCCAAAAAGGCACAGTTCTCGCTCTTGGCTTCTCGGTCAACAAGTTGACGGCGCGAGGTTTATCTACACCGGACAGTCTTTCTTACTTGCCAGTGCCGGCAGACAGTTTCCACGTGCAGACGGCGATGGGGTAACCAGGTGCTCCTGGCGCGTCGTAGTGTTCGCAAGTTCGCTTGAGAGGCGTAAGCGACAGAAAGGCGACACTTCAAGTGGTAATAACCAGCTCGGCGAAGACATAAAGGCGAAAAGCGAACCTGGAAGGACCAAACGAGCTTCGCGAAAGTATGTGGACGTCCGTCTCATTCCATGCTGGTGATGGCACAACAAGTTGAAACATTTCCAGTTTTAAGGTTATACTCCATCAGTTATGTCTCATTATGAATCACAGGTCTGTTGGTACCTCAGTCGCTTCTTACGTCGGGAGTACATTCATCCATGACATGCATCTCTAGACACTCATCCCTTTATACTCAACTCGTGTCGATAGCGCTTATCCCTTTGCATTCTTCCCCTTCCTTTTCGCCCGTTCTGCGCACAGAAATCTGCTTCGGAAGTCTTGGGAAAGAAGCGCACGAGCAGGAGGAAGAGACGAGGAATCGAAACGGCTGACTGCTTCGGACGAGAAGGAGAAAGAGGAGAGGGACGAGAAAGACAAAGAGGGAGAGGAGCTCAAGGACCGGGGCAAGGGAGACGAGAATCAGCGTGCTGTCGACCATTACGCGCACAGCCAGTCCATGCCTCAGAAGCATCACGAATGGGTGTATTCTGTCGGATCTCCTAATGGTACTTCCTTTTTACCTCTCCGGCTCCCCCCCAAGAAAAATAAGAAATAGAATCTAACCTTTACCCCACCCCAGTTGCTAGTCCAAACCCTCTTTCACGCCTCTGTTCGTTCTCTCTATCGTTTCTTACCCTGTCCCTCCGTGCCTCTCCATTCCACTCCTCCCTCCTATGCGCAGTCCCTTCCCCCAGCAGTAGCAGTCTCAACCGCCCACCTCCCACACTGCTGTCCCTTGCTGTGGCTACTGCTGCTGCTGCTTGTGCCGCTGCTCTCCTTCTGCTGCACTCTCGGCTCTCCCGGACAGCAGCGGAACGTGCAGAGAGGCGTGCAGAGGAACAGGCAGGGAGGCGTGCATACGATGCAGGCCATAGTGCAGGGAAACGGGCAGACACACAGGAAGGCACATCAATGGAGAGAGGGGTGATGGTATCATCGGGTGCTGCGGGGGATGGGGGGTTAGCAGGGGGCATGGTAGAGAAAGTGACAGAGGGTTCATCAGGCAAGGAAACTGACAGAAGGAGGGTAGACGAGAGAGCAGAGGAGGGGAAGGATGGCCAGGAAGTTAGGACGGATGGTGTAAGGGAGCGTGATGGGGGTGGGGAGAGGGGTGGGGAGAGTGGTGGGGAGGGCGTTGGGGAGGAGGGTGGACGGGAGAGCGTTGAGGGGGGGGATGAATCTGTGTGTTTAACTGGTGAGTGGAGCGATGGGAAAAGCACAGAGGGAAGTGCCAAGAAGATGGAGGGGAGGGAAACGGAGGGGAGTGAACGGAGTGAGTCAGGTGGGCAAGAGTGGCTTGGACCAGCTGTGGCTGGAGGGGCGGAGAGCAGGGAGCAGGTGGGGAAACGGCAAGGGGGAGGGGAAAGGAGTGGAGGGGCGGTGGGACGAGGCGAGAGTGAGGTTAGGAGAGAAGAGGGTAAAGACGCAGAGGATGGGCGTGGGGATACGAGGCAGAGAGGTAGTGGTGATGGGGATGAGGAAGGGGATGAGGGGAAGGGTGAGGGGAGGGATAAGGGAGACTTACCAGAAGACTCGGAAGAAGAGGAAGGTCTCAAGTTGCTGCAAGGTAACGGAAGAGACATGCGTGTGTCAATTCTGCAAGTCGGGTGAGGGGAGGGGAACGGGAGACCTGCCAGGAACGCCTCGAGCTGCCAGTAGAAAGAAGAGGAACGCCTCGAGCTGCTGCAAGGTAACGGAAGAGACATGCGTGTGTCACTTCTGTAAAGTCTATGGGTGAGGGGAGGGAAACGGGAGACCTGCCAGGAGAGTAGAAAGAAGAGGAATGCTTCGAGTTGCTGCAAGGTAACCTAAGGGACATGCTTTTGAGAAATTTCTAAGGGTGAGGGGAGGGAGGGAGACATAGAGCTACCAGATGGTTGGGAAGAAGATGAGCGGCTGAAGTTGCTACAAGCAAGGTAACAGGAGAGACATGAAGAGAGCAAAATAGCATGCTCAGAGCTTGTGTGCCAACCTCCAGATTTTTAGGCGCCGAGAAAATCGTCTTCAGATTCCTTCGTCATTCCCCTTATATGCAACCGTTACCATTACGCACCCCCGTTACCATTACGCACCTCCATTACCATTACGCACCCCCGTTACCACTACGCACCTTCGTTACCATAACGCACCACCGTTACCATTACGCACTTCCATTACCATTACGCACCGATGTTACCTTTACTCAACCCACGTTACCATTACGCACCTCCGTTACCATTACGCACCCCCGTTACCGTTACGCACCCCCGTTACTGTTACGCACCCCCGTTACCGCTACGCACCCCCGTTACCATTACGCACCCCCGTTACCCGTGCCTTTCTCGTTTCGTATTTGTGGGTGATGTAAACGTGTTAAGCGTTGCTTTCTTCTGGCGCCTTTTGTTCTCCTCTTGTCGCACCCAACTGACTTTCGAGTCGGTGCAAGGCCACTTTTATCTCCTCTTGCCTCCCCTTGCATCGCCCAACAGCTCAAGCCATCAGTGATTGGAGCAACCAGATTGTGCTGCAGGTAAGGCAGTATTGAAGTTCATTTGTAAAGGAGGGTTAACTGGTACAAGTGCTGTGTATACACGTTAGCTCAAAGCGTTAGCGTTTGATGCGTATTTTGTTAATCATGCGTATACTCATGTGCTCATGTGCTCTTGTACGTTTCTAAATTTCACGCTTCCAGTCTCGCTTCTCTCACGCATCACTTCTCCTTTTCCCTCCCTTCCACCAGGGCTTTAACTGGGAGTCACACGGCCAACCCCACGGCTGGTGGCGGCACCTAGCCTCCCTCGCGCCCGCCATTGCTGCTGCTGGTTTCACGGCTGTCTGGCTGCCTCCTGCCTCTTCTTCACTCGCCCCTCAAGGTAAGCCTCTCGATGTAGCCCCCAGCCTCTTCGTCTCACAGCCACCACGAGGGCTGGTGGCGGCACCTGGCCTCCCTCGCGCCCACCATCACTGCTATTGGCTTCAAGGCTGTCTGGCTGCCCCCTGCCTCATCGTCCCTCGCCCCACAAGGTAGGCCCTTGAAGGTAAGCCATACAAGGTAGGCCCTTGAACGTTATCCTGCGTCTCCCGGTCCTTACACATTACCCCACTGTCTCTCAGTCCTCCTCGTTCTCCATTCCATCTCTCTTCTCCACTCCATTTCTCTACCTCCCCAAGGAACCCCCCGTTTCCTAGATTTTTACGTCTCCCATCATACCTTCCCTCACTCTCTTCCCTTCTCTCTGTTTCCTTCTCTCTTCCCCCCTCCCTTTCCTCCTCCAGGCTATTTGCCCAAGGACCTCTACGACCTGTCATCAGCATACGGCTCAGAAACAAACCTCCTTAACTCCCTTACCCTCTCTCGCTCTCCTCCTCTCTCCCTCTCCCCTCGCACCAGGCTACCTACCCAAGGACCTCTACCATCTCGCATCAGCATACGGCTCAAAGGCAGACCTGCGCGCTCTCATTGCTGCTTTCAGGGCCGCCCAGCCCCACACCGCCGCACCCGCAGCTGCTGCTGATCCTTCTACTGCTGCTAATTTCGCTGCAGTTGCTCCTAGTGGTTCTGCTTCTGTCGCTGCTGCTGCGTCACCCGCAGCCGCTGCCGCAGGCGCTGCTGCTGCCACTGACATTAATCCCGGCAGAGGGTTGGATCAAGCAGCTGAGTGTGTGCCTGGTACCACTACTGATGGCACTATTACCTGCTGTGCTGACACTAATGGTGCTGCCACGGGTAGTGCTGGGAACGCTGGGGGAGTGACTGCAGTGGGAGTGAGGGTGATAGCGGATTTGGTGGTTAACCACCGGGTGGGCAGCCTGCAGGGGGAGGGCGGGCTGTGGACTCGCTTCGATGGCACGTCCATGCCATGGGATGACACTGCTGTCACCTGTGATACTGGCGGCAAGGGCAACCCCAGCAGCGGCAGTGTGTTCGAGGGGGTATCCAACATCGACCACTCTCAGCCGTTCGTGCGCCGAGACCTCACAGCTTGGCTGACGTGGCTCCAGGTGAGACATGCTGCATGGCTGACGTGGCTCCAGGTGAGACATGCTGCATGGCTGACGTGGCTCCAGGTGAGACGTGCTGGCATGGCTCTTCAGGGTTGGGTTGGATTGAGCATAGGTAGGTGCAGGCTGCTAACACCATTCCAGTGTGCGCTTCTACTGGCTCCCACTGCTCCCATTTTTCACTCTACTTTTTCCATTTGCTTCCATGCCCCATGACTCATGCCCCACATTTTTTACACCCCATGCTCACGTGCCTCTTGCCTCCATCCTCTTGCCCTCCCATCCCCCATCCCCAATGCCGTATGACCCCCACCCACAGGCAGATGTGGGCTTTTCCGGTTTCCGCTTTGACTATGCCAAGGGGTACAGTGCGGCGTATGTGCGGGGGTATGTGCAGGAGGCACGCCTGCGCTGCACCTGTGCACGTGATGCTAAGGAACTGCAAGGAAAAGCCACATCCCGTGCTCACGTGCCTCTTGCCTCCCTCCACTTGCCTTCCCATCTCCCATCCCCAATGCCCTATGACCCTCAACCACAGGCTGACGTGGGCTTTTCAGGGTTCCGGTTTGACTATGCCAAGGGGTACAGCGCGGCCTATGTGCGGGGGTATGTGCAGGGGGCACGCCTGCGCCTGTGTGTGGGCGAGTACTGGGACACCTGCAACTACATCGGGCCGCAATACGACCTGGACTATGACCAGGGTGGGTGAGAGTGTGATACTGAGAGCGTGGGCATGCCTGTGTGTGCACGAGCCTGTTTGTGGGCGAGTACTGGGATACATGCAACTACGTGGGGCCGCAATACGACCTTGATTACGACCAGGGTGGGTGAGAGGTTGTGAGATATGCTGGGCGATTGGGGATGAAAACAGGGGCGTGTTTGTGAGAGTTGTGCATGAGCCTGTGTGTGGGCGAGTACTGGGATACCTGCAACTACGTTGGGCCGCAATACGACCTTGACTACGACCAGGGTGGGTGAAAGGGTGAGAGGATGACAGGGTGAGTGGTTGAATGTTAGTGTGTGAGAGGGTGTGAGGGTGAGCGTGAGAAGGTGAGGGTGTGAGGTTGAAACTGTGATTCCGTGGGCCTGTGGGCTTGTCTATGTGTGTGCACGGCCGAGCCTGTGTGTGCACGGCCGAGCCTGTGTGTGCACAGCCGAGCCTGTGTGTGCACGGCCGAGCCTGTGTGTGCACGGCCGAGCCTGTGTGTGCACGGCCGAGCCTGTGTGTGCACGGCCGAGCCTGTGTGTGCACGGCCGAGCCTGTGTTTGCACGGCCGAGCCTGTGTGTGGGCGAGTACTGGGGCACCTGCAACTACGTTGGGCCACAATACGACCTTGATTACGATCAGGGTGGGTGGGACTATGACTGAGACTGCCGGACTGGCAGTCTCACAGACTATGAGTGGGGCCCACACACAGGCTCAGCCGCACACAGACTTTAGGCATGCCTGTGTGTGCACGAGCCTGTGTGTGGGCGAGTACTGGGACACCTGGAACTACGTCGGGCCGCAATACGACCTGGACTACAATCAAGGCGCGTGTGAGACTGTGCAAATTTCGGACTGTGGGACTGTAGGCATGCCTATGTGTGCACGAGTGAGGAGCCTGTGTGTGAGCGAGTACTGGGACACCTGCAACTACGTCAGGCCCTAGTACGACCTTGACTACGACCAGGGTGGGTTGGGTGATTGGAACTGTGTGAGTTTGAGCAATAAGGTCCGTGGGACAGTAGGCATGTCTGTAGGCTTGCCTATGTGCGGGGGTATGTGCAGGGGGCACGCCTGCGCCTGTGTGTGGGCGAGTGAGTCGACCCAGAGTCACCTCCAAATGTCACCTTCCCCGTGTATCACCTTGCCTGTATGTCACCTCCACCCGGCTGCTGTGCAGCCAGACTCGCACCGAGGGCGCATAGTGGAGTGGATTGAAGGGGCGGGCAGGCTGGCAGCGGCCTTTGACTTCACCACCAAGGCGATTCTCCAGGTCAGTGAGTGAGAAAGTGAGTGAGTGAGTGGGTGAGTGAGTGAGTGAGTGAGTGAGTTATTGGGTGATTGAGTGGTTGAGTGGGTATTTGAGTGAGTGAGTGAGTGAGTGAGTGAGTTTATGAGCGAGAATGGCTGGAGGGTGAAGCTTGATTCACACATGGAGGAGGCTTGAGAGGCCATGTGAGTGCTTGCTGGCTGCTGCCTCTGACTTTGCACCTAGGGCTGCATGCCCTTGCCTCTTGCTCTGCGCCTCTCATGCCTCTGTCTCCCTCTCTGCGCCTCTCACTCCTCGCTGCAGGAGGCAGTGAAAAGGAAGGAATGGTGGCGGCTCAAGGACAGGGAAGGCCGCCCACCAGGCGTGATGGGCCTGCTGCCCTCGCATGCCGTCACATTTGTTGATAATCATGACACCGGCTCCACCCAGGTGAATGCAGCAGATCCTCAGGTGTATACAACAGACATTCAGGAGAAATCTGGTTCCAGAAAATTCAACATAGGCATTGGCACTGCTTTCATGTCCTTCGAGTCGACTCAAAAGTCTGCTGCTGGAAAGGTCTGAGGCCGCACTCTTGTGTGTTTCTCTCCCTGTGTGTGTGCCTGTGACTGTGCCGTGCAGGCTCACTGGCCCTTCCCCTCGCATGCCGTCATCCAGGCAAGCCAATTGCCCGGAAGTCAAATTCCAACAATTTTTTTTTTCCTCATTCCCGTTCAAGTCAGCTTGCTCTCGCATGGGTTTTCCAATGTATTGTTGACGCTCCAGGCAAGCCAACTGACGAATTTACACATCTTTGTCACTCTCCGCCAATTTTAGCCCATACCCCTTTTTCCCCTACGCTGCTGTCTCGACGATGGCACCTCCAAGGACCCCACTCTGTTCTCAGCTATACTCTGGCTTTCTTCCTTTCTGCCTTGCCTCCCACAACCCTATAGGGTTATGCTTACATCCTTACACATCCTGGCATCCCTTCAGTGTTTTATGACCATTTCTTCGACTGGGGTCCAGAACTGAAAAATCAAATCCAGCAACTGGTAAGCAAGCCTGGCTGGATGGGGGCCATTCTGGGGTCTTTTTTGGGGTTACATGTGTAAATAACTGGAATTTCATCTCATGCATCACATTGATGGAACTTGAGGTTTGATGTAGCCTGATGGTGGTGGTGTTTGTGATGTTATCGTGCGATTTGCTTTGATGAATATTCACTGTTTGTTATGTTTTTGCATTGAGGGCAGATTCATGCTCGGCGGAGGGCAGGCATACATAGCTGTTCTTCTATCAAGATACTGGCAGCAGATGACAGCAGATATGCCGCCATCATTGGAGAAAATCTGTGTGTGAAGATTGGGGATGGAGAGTGGAGCCCTGATTCCAATGAAATAGAAGGGGTTTTGAAGTCCAGTGATTTTGGTGATGTGGGTGATAGCGGAAGGATAGAGAGCAATGAATCAAGTGATTCCTTGTTGAATTGGAACTTGGTAACGTGTGGGGAGGGTTATGCTGTATGGATCTGGGAATGATTTAATAAATGATTTGTGCTGTTCATTTGATGTTTTAGTTGATGATACCAAGCCCATCCGATTGTTGTTAGCAAGTCGCGTTGAAGCGAGTCATCTCGCTGCGATGTTCTGTCTGATTCGATGCGTTTCCCGCCAAAACTCGGTTCTCCTGAATTTGGCCTTCAGGGATACGAGTCTCTGATCAACTTTTCCGAGCCATCCTGATCAGGTCGCTATCGCGATTCGTCCTTAATCGAAGGCTCGGCATGGGCAATTAGGCTAGTGATAGTGCCGGCGTTGACCTCGGCCGCAGCAGCGTACTAATAGACTGGACGGGTAACCGGTTTCTAGATTTTGCGCGCGCTTTGCGTTGGTCTTCAGGCACGAATTATGCACGTAGATGTCAGATGAGTGGACTGATTAATCCGAGTTACGGAGTGTCCCGTTTGGTGTAAGTTTTAGTGAGCCTATCATGATGAGTATTTCGGAGTTTTCGTCCTCTGTGCCGTGGAAGGTGCGTCATAGATTCACCCGCTTGTTTTGTTAGACTATAAAGTCAGTTGATGACAAGTTTGAGGACTAAGGGTGGCCGGAACTTGCCTGATCAGACTCATTTTAGAGGATTCTAGGCTAGAAGTTAGTCTTGGTTTCTTTGGCTGACAAGGACTGGACTATCAACGAGTTGACTATTCACTGTGTCTTAACTGTAGACCAGGGTGTCTCTGCCCCGCCATCGCTCATGGCTCTCGAAATTCGTATCATCCGCGTTAGTGTCCGTTGCACGTCGGTCAGGCGTCGTTATATCGGGATGGCGTGTTCTGTTTTCCTGCTGGCGCTCCTGACATCGGGAACTCCGCCGATCAGCGCATTCGAGCATGCTACTGGCGACAGCTACACGTTCAGCCATTTCCACACGGAACGAGGAGCCTCCAACAGCTATACTCCACTTGGTGTGTCGTCTGAAACCTGTTGAAACTCATTCTCTGAGTTATTCGACTCAAAAGCTGGCATGACATAGAGTGCGGAGGTTTCAGACTGACCAACCAGCAGCAGGCGATGTATCTCGTAACACCTAGTCAGCTCGCCATGCATTCATCTTCCTTTTCACTCCCACTCTCTCCGCCAGAGCTTCATCTGGGGGTCAACAGCGTGGATGTGTCAGACCCAGTAGCAGCAGGCGACGGTGCTGCCTCTGTGTGCATCGCTCGCACGCGCCTCCCCGCCCGGCCGCGCTTGAGGGGCGTGTCTCGGGGCTTTCACGTGCTGAGAGTCACGGCCACTATCCCTGCTGCGGGAATGCCGCGCAGTGCCTTTGCCAGCGGTCCCAAGTTTGAATTCTGCGTGCATTGGTGAGTGAGTGAGTGTGTCAGTGATGGGTTGTCCTCCTGAGAGCACAGCACCGCACTCAACGATCTCCCCGCTCGGCCACGTCTGAGGGGCGTGTCTCGCGGGTTTCACGTGCTGAGAGTCACGGCCACCATCCCTGCTGCAGGGATGTCGCGTGGTGCTTTTGCCAGCGTCCCCAAGTTTGAATTCTGCGTGCATTGGTGAGTGAGCGAGTGTCAGCAAGGGGAGCAGTGGACAGAAATGGGCGGTGGCCGAGCAGGTGGGTGGGTTGTTGGTGCTAGGACCCCGTGTCCCCCCACTTTTCAGGCGCCTCAAAATTAGGATCATTTGTCTCCCTGCTTGTCAGACGCCTCAAAATTAGGATCCCTTGTCCCCCTGCTAACTGCATCTCATTCAATCCTGATGCTCCCCTCCCCTGCGTCACTTCAGGAATGCCTCGCAACCCCGAGGGGAGTGCCCAAGGGGGGCGTGGCGAGCAATGGACCGGAAATGGCGGTGGGTGGTTCTCCGGTCACCTTTTGAGGGCGCGTTCATTGATGTGAAACGAGAGGGCGGGGTCACTGGGGGTCATGACGTCAGCATCAAAGTGGACGAAGGTGAGCAGATGAGGAGGAAAAAGGGAGAAAGAGAGTGTGCATTTTTTTTGTTTTCCGTATACTTTCGAATGGCCTGACACTTTTTATGACCTTCTTTCTTCTCCTCGTCTGTTTTTCATCAGACCTGGAACCCCATCGGGCGGTGTTTTTTGTCCTGGGGTTCCTGCTCATGCTGCTGGCGGGTCATCTGAGCTCCATGGTGGCATTCTACTATGGAGGGGGCATGACGCTGGGCGTGCTGCTCGTGGTCATCGTCATTCTCTATCAGGTGTGTGGCGTGTGTAGCATATGTGGCATATGCAGTGTGTTGTCTGTGCTCACCATCTGAGCTCTATGGTGGCTTTCTATCACGGAGGGGGCATGACGCTGGGCGTGCTGCTTGTGGTGATCGTCATTCTCTACCAGGTATATGGCGTGTGTAACATGTGTGGCATATGTGGTGTGTGTGTGGTCACCATCTGAGCGCTATGGTGGCTTTCTATTACGGAGGGGGCATGACCTTGGACGTGCTGCTTGTGGTCATTGCGATTCTTTACCAGGTGTTTGGCGATTGTGCTGTGTGTAACGGTTCATCCTACCCAAGGTTATGTGTGTGTGGGGGCACCATCTGAGAAATCTATGGTGGTTTTCCATCTTCTAAGGAGGGGGCATGACGCTGGGTGTGCTGCTCGTGGTCATCGTCATTCTCTACAGGGTGTGTATGGAACGACGATGACCACGAGCAGCACAACATGAAAAACCGCCTGCCCCATCACCCCTGCCACCACCCGCCCCATTGCCCATCATCCCTGCCACCACCCCCGCCATTACCCATCATCCCTGCCACCACCCCCGCCATTACCCATCATCCCTGCCACCACCCCCGCCATTACCCATCATCCCTGCCACCACCCGCCACTTTACCCATCCCATCAGGTCATGCGGTTGCTGCCCCTGGGTCGAAAGAGCAGCCTTCAAATCCTCCTCTATGGCTCGCTGGTATGTGCTATGGCTCGCTGGTACGTGCTATGGCCTGCATATAGTGCATGGCATGGGGTGCATGGAGCGCCTTTCATCTTATCTGGGTATTGTACTATTTTTTACGGGGCGTGTGCACTAGAGGTGTATGTTATGTGAAAGAGGTGGGAGAGCAAGTGGAGAGTGCGCAAATATAGGGAGAGTAGGAGGGAGATGGAAGTGAGAAAAGAAAAGGGGTTTGAAAGGGACAAGGAAACGGTGAGGAAGAGGGGGCAAGGGGAAAGGGAAGAAAGCGGAGATAGAGAAGGAGAAGGTTCCGATCCAAAAGAATAAACAGTTTTTTATCGAGAAGGAAGCCGTATACTCACACTTTTTCTCAGCGGCTCAACCTGACTTCGCACACCATGGCAGAGAAGGTGGCGGGTGTGCAGGGCTTACAGGTGCACTCAAATATTCATATTTCGAAAATTTATAGTGTTACTATATACAAAAAACATCTGTTTCTGCTGCGATCACAAAAAAAAGGTGCAAAGGTAACAGTAAGAGGAATTCATGATAGAGGGATTGCTGCGAAGGCCTCCGAGTTATTGTATGTTCTGCAGCGTCAGTGATTTCTTCTCGCCTACGTGTTTACCACACATGAAGACGTGAAACGCGCACATTTTGCTTATCTTAACGTCTCCATGCGTGGTAAACACGTGGGTGAGAGGAAATCGTTGCAGAACGTACAGTTGCTCGGAGGCTTTCGCAGCAATCTGTCTTCATGAATCCCTCATGCTGTTACCTTTGCACCCTTTTTTTTGTGATCGCAGCAGAAACAGATGTTTCTTGTATACGGTAACACTATAAATTTTCGAAATATGAGTGCACTGTAAGCCCCGCACACCTTGCACCTTCTCTGCCATGGTGTGCGTAGTCGGGTTGAGCCGCTACGAAAAAAAAGTGGAAGTATAGGGTTTTTTCCTCAATAAAAAACTGTTTTTTTTTTTTTTAATCCGGAACCTTCTTTTTTTCTGTCACGTCCATCACCCTCCTTATCTCTCTTGTTGCACTCTCAAATTGCTCTCCCGACTCTACTTGGGGTTCATAGGGGTGATTATAACATAAGTCACTGGAGCAGTCGAAACTGCCATGGAGCCTCAATTGATGCCCGGCTCCACACGTCTCCTTCCCACCCCTCTTCCCACCAGATGGGGTTCATAGGGGTGATCATAACATACGCCACAGGGGCCATCAAGACTGTGATGCGTGCAGCCTTCACAGATGCACGCCCTAAAAGCACCTTCGATCCACTTTCGCACTCCTTCTTACCCTCCCTATCAGATGGGGTTAATAGGCGTGATCATAACGTACGTCACAGGGGCCGTCAAGACTGTCATGGAGCCTCACCTGACGCATGACCCTGCTCTTCTCCCCTCCACTGTCCCTGCGCTTCTTCCCCCCACCCGTTTCAACCAGATGGGGTTCATAGGGGTGATCATAACGTATGTCACAGGGGCCGTCAAGACTGTCATGGAGCCTCTGGGCCTTGGTGATGATGTCATCTCTCCGGTAACCATGCCATCCCTCTTGTCATTACGTCAATTTCCTTGTAATGATGCCACTTCTCCACTGTATATTCTTTCAGAATCCTGGAAATTCCTTTTATCTTACTGGGAACCATGCCCATGCCTTTTCTAGTAAGGCATACCGTTTTCGTTGTGATCCATACCATACCATACCGCCATGCCATGCCTTGCCTTTCTTTTTCTTCCCCCAATCCGTTTCATCATGCTTTCTGCCATCCCTCTTTACACCATGTGTTTCCCCAACCCGTCGTCAGGTGGTGGTGTTTGTGCTTGTACTGGTGGTGCTAATAGGAGCAGCGCTGGGCTTCTGGGTGGTGCGGAAATTCATCCTCTCGCCTACAGGGGAGCTCGACCCCCCTACAGTGTCCTTCGTTGAATGGGGGCTCAGAATAATCGCAGCTACACTGCTTATCATGGTACGTAATAGCAGTCTCTTACTGTAACCGACTGTCACTGTCACGCCGTCAGCCCACAGGAGAGCTCGACCCCCCTACAGTGTCCTTCGTTAAGTGGGGGCTCATAATAATCGCAGCAACTCTGTTAATAATGGTACGTAGTGAAACCTGCAATTTAGAAGAAGTTGTTTGTGCTGGGTGGGATAAGGGCCTAACCGCTTGGGCTGTTACTCATGCTTGAGTTGTTCCTGTCGCCTAAAGTTTCTCTGCATTCCCCTGCCTGTGCCTGCCCTCTTCCACTACCTTCCCTTTTCGTCCTACACCCCGCCCATCATTGCCACATTCCCCCCTCCTCCCCAGCTCTTGTTCCCCAAACCCACACTCCTCCAATCCCCCACCCCCCGCCCCCCCTCTTTCGTCCCACCCCCCCCTCTCACAGAGTTCAGCCGATGCCATCATAGCAACGTCTCTTCTCCTCCTCTCTCTCTCCACTACCCTCCTCCTGCACCTCCTATCCCCCCGCGCCCTCGCCCTCCTCTCCCCCACCTCCACCCCCTCTGCCACCCCCGCCACCTCCTTCCTGGCCCGTGCCTGCGCCCGTAAGAGCGAGCAAGCAGCAGAGCAGGAAGGGGAGATGGGGGGAATGGGGGGAGTGGGGGGTGCCTTTTCTCCCCCCCAGCAATACGGCACTCCCCCCCAGGGGCCGATGGGAGGTGTGGGGGGAGAGCAGGGGTATGTGACTCCTTCAAGGGGGGTTAAAGGGTCGCCTTATGCGCGCATGGGAACGCCCTTCCAGGGACCACCAGGTACGGCCTGTTTGCGATTTGAGTGGCTCATAAGCTCAGCTGATGGGGGGGGGAGGGCAGGGGTTTGTGACTCCTTCAAGGGGGGTTGAAGGTTCGCCTTATACGCGCATGGGGACACCTTTCCAGGGACCACCAGGTACGGCGTTTTTGTTCCCACTGTTGTGTGTGCGTCTCTTGCTCTCTCTTCTCTCTGACTCTCTTCCATCTCACGCGCTTCCTCTCGCTCTTCTCTCCTCTCGTGTCCTCTCCTCTCCCACCTCTCCCTCCCGCTCACAGGCACACCACGCACGCCCCTCCCCTCCTCCCCTCTCGCCCGTGCAGTCTGCCCCTCCTCCTTCCACCGCACGCCGCACCGCCGCCACCTCACGCCGGCACAGGCAGCAGCCATCTCCCACGAGTGCACCCAAACGGCCCTGCAGGAGCTCGCATCTTGGTTGCTTCTCAACTGTTTTCTCTTTCTCACTCCTCGCCCCTCCCCGTCACAGGCACGCCGCGCACTCCCCTTCCCTCCTCCCCGCTCACCCGAGCCATCTGCCCCTCCTCCTTCCACCGCACACCGCACCGCCACCACCTCACCCCAGCACAGGCAGCAGCTATTTCCCACGAGTGCGCCCACGTGGCCCTGCCCTGCAATGTATGGACTGCTGGTTCATTCTCACCTGTTTGCTCTTTCCTCTCCTCTCCCCTCTTCTCCTCACAGGCACGCCTCGCACGCCGCTCCTCTCCTCCCCTCTGGCCCGAGCCATCTGCCCCTCCTCCTTCCACCGCACGCCACCTCACTCCAGCACAGGCAGCAGCCATTTCGCACGAGTGCACCCAGGCGGCCCTGCAGGAGCTGGCTTCCTGGTTGCTTCTCAACTGTTTTCTGTTTGCTTCTCCCCTCTCCTTTCCTCTTCTCTCTTCTGGTGCCCTTCCCTTCCCCCACAGGCACACCATGCACTCCTCTGCCCTCCTCCCCTCTCGCCCGCGCGGTGTGCCCCTCCTCCTTCCACCGCACACCCCACCGTCGCCACCTCACCCCGGCACAGGCAGCAGCCATCTCGCACGAGTGCACCCAGGCGGCCCTGCAGGAGCTTGCCTATTCCCCCGGGTTCGGGCAGTGGGTGTTGCATAACTTTGACCGGATAGCGATTACCCCGAGGATTCTGAGGGAGGAGCGGAGCGAGGGGGAGATTGCTGCTACAGCTGAGATGGAGGAAGGGTTTGAGGAAGAGGAGGGGTGAGGGAAAGCTGATCACCTAACTGGTGGTGTTGTGTGATAAGGAGCTGGGGGTAGCCAGCTACGGTATTTTGAAGAGGTAGGTAGGTAGGACCGAGTTTACCCTCACGAAGTGGGTAGCGAATAAAAAATCAGATACGGTGACCACTCATTCGAGAGCCACCAGGTTTTCCTGCAATGACTTTGTGCTGCATTCAACCCCGCTCCCTTGACTTGGGTTTAGGGTTTGGGCAGTGGGTGGACAGTGTAGTGTAGGTAGATAAACATAGAAGGATGGTTTACAGTTCTAGATGGATTTACCGTCTAATGAAAGGTGAGCTAATGCACAAGGCTTGACGCCAGATTAGTGAACTTGGGTATAGCCCTGTTAGTGTTACGAGACACATTACTGTACCGTATGCTTATTTGATGCCAGCCAAACCAGATCAGTCCTCCCCTGCCTGATAAACACCCTGAAGCAGCCACAACAATGCATGCTGTAGCAATTCAAACCAACCTGCCTTGTCATGCGATCAAAACCATTCGAAATTCCCAATTTCTCTCTTGCAATTACGAACATCCTTCATCCTGAACCCTCAACACAGTCAATCCCACCCATTCCCAGCCCTAAGCGAAACCTAAAATTACCCCAACCAACCCCTTCCCTCAACCCAATTCCACCGGTCTCCACCCCTCACCCCTTTCCTCCTGCGGCAGCCCCAGCACTCTCCTGCACCCAAATCCTGACCGTCCGATCTTGATCCAACCCTCCAGAAGCGATCATATTCTCGCTGGGGTGACAGGCCACAGTGAGGACAATATCGGTGTGACCTGAAAGCTTCTGCACCACTGTACGTGCTTGTAGGTCCCACAGATACACGCAATTGTCCTCTGACCCACTCACTATGTATTTTCCGTTGGTTACAGAGAAGGTTGAGAAAATGCAGTATTTCTTGTTCACGTGGCCCGTGTAGGTCTTGAGACACTTGCCAGTTGCGTAATTCCACAGACGCTGGTCGTTCATAAGTGGGGGGAGGGGAAAGGGGGAAAAGGGGGAAGCGGAAGCAGGGGAGGGGGGAAAGGCATAGGGGAGGGAAGGTTGAGAAGATGCAGTATTTCTTGTTCACGTGCCCAGTGTAGGTCTTGAGACACTTGCCTGTTGCATAGTTCCACAGACGCTGGTGGGAATGCAGAGGAGGGGGGTGGAAGGGGAGGGAGAGGGGGGAATGGGGAAGGGTGCGTAGAAAAGGGGTTGGAAAGGGAGTGGGTTATGCGCTAGAGCTGGAAAGGGTGTCTGGGGAAGGAAGGGGGGAAGCGGAACGTTGGCGAAAAAGCAGAAGGGGAAGAGGGGAGAGGGAGGAGAAGGCGGAAGCGGGGATGGGGGACAAGTAGGGGGATTTGGGAGCGACAAGAATCCTAACCAGAATATAATCGAGCGTGCCGGCGATACGAAAGGGGAGAGACGGAGGTAGAGGGAGAGGGGGAGGGAGGAGATGGAGTGGGAGACAGGGGAAGGTTGAGATAGATGGGAAACCTCACCAGAGTGTTATCGAGCGTGCCGGCGAGGATAAACTTTCCGTTGGGCGAGAATTTAACGAACGACACGGGCGGGTTGTCGTCGTCGATTAGGGTTTTCAGGCAGTGCCCCGTCTGCGTGTCCCAGATACGACAAAGCCCGTCGTACGAGCTCGACACCACGAGCGATCCGTCGCGGTTGAAATGAACGGCCGTTACAGGGTCCGAATGGGCAGGCAAAACTTTCACGCACTTGCCCGTTTTCACGTCCCACAGCCGGACCGTCTCGTCAAACGCGCCGGAAACTATGAGGTTGGATTGCGGGTTGAAGTTGCAACAAAAGACGTAGTTAGTATGTCCCTTTAGGATTTGCACGCACGGTCGCGTGGTCGGCGCGGCCCCGCTATTAGCATCCCCGCTAGAAGCCGCCTGCCCTCCCGTAACGTCCCATATCCGCAGCGTGTGATCGTCCGATGCGGAGCAGATGTAACGCGAATCGGACGACCACGCGATGTCGCTTATTCCCTCCGCGTGCCCGACGAGCGGCGGGTCTGACGGCCTGCCGTCAGCTGCGTGCCAGATCCTGACGGTTTTGTCGGCCGACGAGCTGGCTAACCATTTCCCGTCGGGCGAGAACTTAACGCTGGAAATAGCCTTCTTGTGGCCGTTAAGAGTGTATTTAAGAACGTATGGCACGTAGCCCTTAGGCGGCACTACTTGAACTGCTGCGGGAGCAGCTGTAGCAGCGGCACTGGCTGTGCCAGCGGCTTCTGCGGGTTTTGCGGGAGCAGCTGCAGCGACAGAAGTTGATCCGGACGGAGGGTTCGATGGCTGAGAAGCGGGATTTCCTTGATTACCGGGAGCCGATGTGTCCATCGGCACAGCCTCGGCTTTCGTCTCTGGTTGCTCCATACGGGCTTTAAGGTCGAGGGTAACGCGCTGCGACTACAGCACACGCAAGTCGGGACTATGGGTGATAGCGCCTCGTCAAATAGCCGAGGAACAACCGAGGAGGAGCCGAGGCGCAAATTGCGAAGCTCGGCAAAACTATATTATTTCCCTCTGGGTGTTATTGTGATGTGGCAGTGGAACTGAGACCATAAACCCATGAAATGTGCCTCAGAAAGACTTGGTTGGGGCTGGGTGGGAGATGCATTGAACAATCAGGGCGAAGGGTTTTACCAGGGTCTGACAGGGTATAGCGAGGTTTTGCGCCTAGGAACGAGCAGATCGGATCAGCACTGACAATGTCAGGGCTCGGACACCGAGATTCGCCCGTTTGAGTAACGATTTGTGCTACAAAAGACAAGAGGAACACATTATCCATACATAAATATAGCATTACGGTTGGCAAAAAGCAGTAATCTGGGTGATACGGACTGCACCATAGCGGACACAAACAGTCCACGTCACGTGACTTCCTGCTTGCGTCATTAGGGAGCAGCGCATGAAACGTGAGCCATCCGTCACACTGTGATTGACCTTTCCCTTGTTATCTACTGTTCTCAGACTTCAAGGAACAAATCCGAAGGCGCTACGAGACTCGCTTTGCTAAGCAACACGAAATTGCGCCACAAGGGTGGTGGTGGTATGGCCGCAGGTGGCGTCAGACAGACTCGATGAGCGCTTCGGCAACCAGCCGCATCTCAAACAGGGCAAGCGGCCTTCGCGGTCCACCTGAACTTCCCCCCTTCCAAAAAAAAAGTCCGCGGCTGCGCATTATTGCACCCATGGTTTCCCCCAACCTCAATTATTTGCGCGGTCGCGGAATTTTTCTGACCCAAACCCAAAACCAGCGCACCGAAACGCCTCAACGGAACCGTCCATTCCTGCGAAACGCGCCGAAACGCGTCTCTCGTGTTTGTCCATCCGCCGCTCCTTCTCTGCACATCCGCCTCGGCTCCTTCGTCCCTCCCCCCTGTCTCTCCACCGCTGAATTTTCTTCCCAAACCAGACTGAAACTAGCAAGCTCCCTTTTCGTCACGCAATCCACTTTTCCCCTTGCCCACACCACACTCCTCTCCATTGTTCTACACGTTTGCTAGGCGTCATTTGCGTGTTGGAGTGGATTCCTTCCTTTAGCTTTCCCTTGCTTGCTGGGCACACGTCACATCCAATAATTGACCCAATCCGAGAGTTACGAACACTGCTTCCCGAGTGTCGCTCACTTGTTGATAGCACAAGAAGCAACATACGTACCACTGCCTGTTAGAATTCACTAGACTTGCCTCTCTAGACTTCGACGGAGCTGTATTTTTCTTCCAGACTCCTCCTCCTTAGGACCTACTTCTTCCATTCCACGCCTTGAAAACGCTTGCATCGTTTCCTTGGTAGTACTCGGCTTTTCTTTCTGTCAGATTCTCGATCCGCACTTCTGAAGCCCAGCCAGACGTTAGGTACGATGGGCGTATCAGCCAGTCCCTACGCCACTGAGCTTCACGCCGCCGTCCTTTCCGGTCGAATCCTCGCGGTCCGTAGATTCATCGATCGCGGTGCGCGCGTAACGGCGCGCGACAAGATCGATCGCACGCCTCTGCACTGGGCGGTCGCTGTTGGCCTCGAAGACATCGCGAAGATCCTCCTTATAAGCACTCCTCCGCGCTCGCTAAAAGCCGGCGATAAGTACGGGCGCACGGTTCTTCACTACGCCGCAGCGTCGGGGAATGTTTCCCTCGCACGCGTGATGATCAACCGCGGCGCGTCGGTGAACGCGGAAGATCAACGGCTGGTAACGCCGCTCCATCTGGCGGCGGAGCAGGTGAATCCGGAAATGGTGCAGCTGCTGCTGGGCCACGGCGCGCTGTGCGGGGCGGCGGACGCGGAAGGGCGGAGCCCGCGGGATTACGCGGAGCGGGTGGGCAGCGCGCACTGCGCGCGTCTGTTGCGCGAGGCGGAGGAACGGACGATGGATCGGACGTTGGATCGGTCGACTGCGACGGCTACGACGAGTGCACACCCCGGTCTACTCACCGTGAAGGCAGCGGATCAGTCGAAGGGGAATAGTACAGGGGTCCTATGGGAGAGTGAGGCGCGTGCGTCGTTAGCATCACACGCGAAATCGCCTGTTGCAGAGCTGCCCGCCGGTTCCGATGCTCCCTCGCAGCTTAGGATTCCGTTGGCGAATGTGGCGAACGTCGTGGCGGCAGATACGGCGGCAAAGGGCAACGTAACGGCAGCAGACCCGCTGAAAGCCACTGAGGCCAGTTTCCTCGATTCTGTGCCGGCGTGTGCTGAGAGGCTGGGTGCAGGGGATGTGCGGTTTAGCAGGAGCGGTTTAGGAGGCGTGAGGTGCGGGGAGAAGCCGAGCTCGGGTTGGGATGAGGGCTGGGGTGTGTTGGGACTGCTCGGAGCGTTTTGAGGTTGTTCAGATGGCGATGGTGGGCTGTGCTGTATGGTGGGGATTACGGATCTAGCTGGTGTGGGGTTGCTGTTTTTCCTGGTTCTTTCTTCACTCACTTCCCCATTGTCAAGCTTTGATGTGGGGTTTGCAGTGAAGGGGACGCAATAAGTGTCTGGCTGGAGACATGACTGTTGGAGTCACTCAAGTGTGTAGCGCCTTTTAGTACAGGTGCATTGTTAGTGCAGACCTCACCAGCAGTCATTCGTGTATCCCTGTCATTGGAAACTTCTTGTACATACAAAACTGTTGCGTGAGTTCACACCTGTGAGTTTCTGGTACTAGATGAGGGTGAGGCTTCGTGAGACACAAAGCTTGCCTTTGAAGTATGTTACATGTACAAGAACGATGAGCACAAGCACAACCATGAGCGATTAATCAGAAACACATGGTGCTTGTACTTTTCTACATTGGCAGGATTGGCACACAAGGGAACCTGCCACAGGACCAAAGAGAGGCACAGAGAAGAGGAGTCACAAATAAATAATTTCTACATTGTACTAGCTCCTGCTTTTAGGCAAGGTAACAGCCTGACTGTATGCTATCATGCACATGGATGTGAACTTACATGTAACGCGTGTACACATAGCTTACCAGATGAAGCAGGTTCAGATGGTGGAGCAAAGATGACATCTCCATCCCAAATTGTATCCACGTCGGTGATTTCCCCACCGTCCTTATTCACAAGGATTCCCACAGAGAATCCAAACAGGTTGCTCAGCTGCTCTTTCAGTGTGGCCATGGAGCGAGGTACCAACACCACCTTCCCATATGGTCGTCCCATGGATGGTTTCTCATCTCCAGCCCTTCCCCGATCACCTCCTTCCCTCCCAGGTTCAGGAGATGCAGAATCCCCTGATGAATGCACTGCAGGATCAGGTGAACTTTCATGTGGTTTGCCAGAAGCTCCCTCGCGCAGTATAGCATCCCCAGGAGAATTGCCAGGTGGTTTGCCAGCTTGGCCAGTGTCCCATGAGTGGCATGGGAAGACCGTCACTCGACGGTTAGCCACAGCCACAGATGGGGTGGGAGGTGGAGGCAAGGCCCTGAACGACCCAGAGAATGACCCTGAAGGGATGTAGTTGCGATTAGGGTAGGGAGTGATCGGCTCTCCCACTCCCACCAGGGGCCCTGATAGGGGCTGGCTGGTTGCATAGGGAGTGGAAGGTTCTGGCGTGGCTGGTATCAGTAGGGTGCGAACCTCGTCTAGTGATGAGTGCGGTGCTGTGGAGGAGCGACTGAAGCTTCTGTCTGGAGGGTGGATGGTGAGGGGCGTGGGGCGCTGTTGTGCTCGGGGAGCAGAGGACGCGCCAGGGACAGGTGGGGCAGGGGGGAGGGCAGCAGAGGTAGAAGGGTATGGTGCTGTGCGTGCAGTGTGTTCGGTGTGCGTGGTGGCATGTGTAGTGAGAGTGGTCCGTGGATGCGGAACAGGTGGGAGTAAAGGTTCAGAGAGTGGGAAGGTGGCTGAGGTTGACCGCGGCTGCAACGCAGAGCCATCATCACACGAGGTCGGTGGGCTCAAAGAACCAGCAGCATGGAGCTTTGGCAGGAGAGGATGTGCGAGGGGCGACGCAGGAGGGGTGAAGAGCGGTTGGTTAGAGGCTGTCTGGTGTTCTGAGAGGTATTCGTCAAAAACGGAGGCAGGGAGGTCTGCCAGGAGGTCAGAGGGGATGTGCACAGAGCTAGTGGGGCGGCGTCGCAGGTGCATGACGCGCTGCTGGAGGAAGGGGTCGGAGGGCAGGCAGGTGGAGGGGGACGCAGCGCCCGAGCTGCTGCCGTCAGCGGCGGATTCGATTTGGTCGGAATAGGTGTCGACGCTTTGGGAGCGCTGCCTGCTGGGCCGGGAGTGGCGGGGAGTGCTGCCGGTGTTGCTGGTTGCAGTGTTAGTTGTGCCAGCGGTGGTAGTGGCAGTGTTGGCAGTGGCGGCGGGGGCGCCTGCGATGGAAGATGAGGGCTGGTGGTGGGTGTGGCGGCGGCGCTGCGAGCCCCCTCGAGTGACTCGTCCAGCTGGCAGGGGAAGGACCGTAAAGGCATTCCATGAGTTGGACCAATGAATGGAACGGCGTGCAGAGAGAGACAAACAGACATCCAGTGAGTCAAACCTGATGCTTCTGACGCATTAGATCAAGCTAACTCTGTCTGAGCTCCAACCCTCTTCCAAGACAATACCTGGTGGCCGGCTTGCCAGCGGCGGCAGCTTCACTCGCATGCCATCCTTAAGCAGTGCAATCACCGGCCTCGCCCCATTCCGGCACGCCTCATCCACCGGCAGGTTACCCAGCCGGTCCCGCGCCCATGCATCCGCCCCATGCTCCAGCAGCAGCCGCACGAGCACAACTGACCCCTCTGCCGCTGCCACGTGCAGGGGCGTGCGCAGGTCATGGTCCGCTTCGTTGGGGTCCAGGCCAAAGGACAGCAGGCGCTCGAGGTACTCCACCATACCGCGCTTCACCGCATGGCACAGCTCGCTTGCGGGGTCGTCCAGGAGGATCTGCGCGCCGTTCTCCCGAAGCACCTCGGCTGTCTGCATGTGGCCTGCTCGAAGGGCCTCCAGGAGAGGCGTCACGCCAAACCGGTCTGAGGGGATATGGGGAGGTAGGGAGGAAACCGATGGGGCTCTGGCTGAAGCCCTTAAACATCTTAGCAGCGCCAAACCGTCTGCATCTAGCCTGAATGCAGGGCTACGATTGGAGGCGTAAATACTGGTCTGAGGGGATAAGAGGAAGGACGGAGGGAGGGCACTGAAGGAGCTCCGCCCCAAGATTTTGGAAGTTAGAGCAGCACTTCGGCTGTCTGCATGTGGCCTGCTCGAAAGGGTTCCAGTGTAGGTGTCATGCCGAAGCAGTCTGTGCGGATAAGGGTAGGGAGGGAGGAAACAAATGGGGTCTGCACTGAGCCCTTCAAATATAACAGTACCTCGGTGTCTGCATGTGGCATAATCACAGCGCTTCCAGCAGTAAGGGTCACTTGAGAGCAATACAATGAAAACTGTAAGCTGTACCATCTCCCATGTGCAGTGATGGTCTGGTGCAAATCCTTCCTCTCCTTCTTCACATCCAAAACTGTGCTCACCTTTCCTGTTGGCAGCACCCCCCTCTCTCAAAATAAAACTGCAGATGTCTGGAAAGCCCCTGGAAGCTGCCAGGTGCAGTGCAGTCCGGCCATCAAAGTCCCCTTTAGAAAAGTCTGCTCCGAGCTTTCGCAACATCTTGAGATGGTCCAGGTCCCCCCGTGCTGCTTGCTGTATGGCGCTTAGTGTCTGCTGTGCCTGACGCTGTGTCACCGCACGGCGAACTTCCTCTGCTGTGTCTGTCAGACGACGAGCCCTGGGCTGACCAAAGTCTAGTGGTTCAGACTCCGACTGCCCGAATTTCTGCAATGACCAGAAGGGTAGGGATGGGGAGATGGGGGAGAGGGTGGTAGAAGAGAAGGGATGGGAAGGGTGGAATGAAGTGCGGGGTACTACAACATGTTCATAGGAATCATAACAGAACATGTCCAGATTCATTGTCGTGAACCAATCCCACGTATCAATCCCATGAACCAAAGCTACGCATATACTATTGCCATAGCATTCGATCAATATCACGACTTTTTGTGGTAACTCACCTGCAAATAATTGCTAATAATCCTCTCTCCATCCTCCTGATGAAACGCAATGGCTTCAGAAAAGACCTGGCCGTCAATCCTCAGCAGCTTGCAGAACGACTTGACGTGCGCAGTGAAAGGGGAGAATTTGCTGGCAAGCAACCCCGCCTCCCCAAACATCTCCCCTGGACTCCACACTGTGGCTACTCGAGCTCCACTCCTGCTGAAATGGACTTCTTCCTACATGTTGCACAGAACACAAGGAACGAGGTGTGAAAGTGAAGTGATGTATCTGAAGAGGTGAAAAAGGTAGAGATAGAGGGCAAGGAAGGAACTAGACAACAGCATATATATGTGCAAACGAGAATTCTGGCTCTCACCACTTCTCCTTGTACGAGCAGATAGAGCTGATGGTTGTTGTCGTGCCGACTAACCACCACCTCCCCAGGGAGAAAATATTCCACTCTCAGTCGTGACACCTGGAGCGACAAAAATATTTGATGGAGGAATGCTAGAGGTTTCTCTACATAAAAATCCGGTTGAGAAAACCGGGAAACTCATCTGACACGAAGGGAAAATCTAGAAACTCTTGCAAGCTGAGCCAAGTTTCACAATGCTAAGAAAAAATAGCAAGTGAAAACTTGTGAGTAAAGAGGAAAAACTGTTGCCCAGCTGAGTACAGCGTACCAGGAATTGAATGAACGCCTTCGAGCAGCTCTGGAAAAGATATGCATCTGCGAGCACCTTCCCATGCAGGGACATTGCAACCCCATCACGGATGGAGATGGGAAACTCGTTGACCAGCTTGTTGTCCTCCTCCAACGCCTCTTGCTTCAGCACAACGTGGGATAGCAGCTGCTCCTTCATTCCAGCAGGAATCTGCTTCCTGATGGCAGCATACAAGAAACATCAGACTTGCTGCAAGAATGTTGAGATTTTAACGTTGAGAAAAAAAACCAACCATAGCGATCACCAACTGAAGAAGACAGAGTGTGTGGTGTAGCACCTGTTTGCATATCTGGTAACATTTGAAAGCCGTTCACGCAAAATCTCTGATCTTGACTGGTATCTGACCACCAACGCTGTGAAGTTGGCAATAAGGTATGCCGTGAACAACATGTCCCAAACCACGAAGGCAATAGTGAAAATCATCTCTCGAGGATTGACAGGATGAACATCGCCGTAACCTGAGAATGACAACATCATTGACAATTATTGCTCCGTACTAAAAATGATCAATGCATGAAGAATTTTTCTGGCACAAGAAGACATTCCCGGACTCACCAAGACTTGCCATTGTCACCATAGCCCAATAGAGGCTCACACAATAAAGCTGAAAAATGTTCATTTCTCGAAAGTCAGCGTAGCTCTGGTCTCCAAGCTTAAGGCTTCCAATCCATGTGTATCCTGATTGATTCTCAGGCATGGTGAGGGCAAGAAAGTACATAATGCATGCTGCGCTGTGGACCACATAGAATTCTGTGAGAAACATCTCCGTGCAGCGAACCAGAAAGTAGTGGTACCGGGTGTCCTTCCCCAACCTGCAAACAAAATAATATATTCTTTGAGTGATCATTGTGTTGGGCATTGTTTTGACGATGTACGAGCGAAGGGTTGGTGATCTTGCCTGTCAGCGAATTCTTTCAAGTGCCGAGCACGAATGAGCCGAAGCCACAAAAGAATTTCGAACACGAGGTGTCCAGTTGCCTGAAAAGAGCAAGGATAACCGTCATTTCACTTGCATTCTGAAGCGAACATCCGAAAGGTTCTCATCCTAGAAGTATGCAAAACATGTAGAACAGGAAATCATATTACCTGATACGCGTATTCCCAGGGAATGCATGAGAGGAAGTCAAGAGTGAACCAGGCCTGCAGGTACCTGCGAGATTTCTGCATCAGTGATTAAGGGATTTTATTAATAACAAGTTTCAAAACCAGAAACTAACGCACCTTATTGCAATCCTCTTTCGGTCAGCAATCAATGTGCCTGTCCGATGATCCTTAACGGCTACTCTAAACGTGATGAAAATGTCCGCCAGAAATATGACATTTGACACAATGTCCATGATGACTAAACCCAGAGGAGGGAATCTTAATCGGAAAAAGGCGAACTCGAACGGCGTGATAAGAGAGGAGTATAGTGCCATGATGATGACGATGAGTCTCCAGTACCAATGGAACCTGCCATGCAAGACCGCTTGCGTCATCAACCGACTTTGGAAGTCATCATAATAAGCATAAATGGTATTGCCATACTCTACCTATTTCCTGGCAATATCAGTTGTCCGGGATAGACATAGTCCCGGAATATCTCCAGCCAGTGAGTTTGCCGGCTAGGCCGTGGCTTGATTCGCTCCTCGTGCAGCTTGGCTTCCAGAGCAGCTTCTTTGACAACCTTAGCAAGCCGCGAAGCCAACGATGCGGACATGGTGTTCAAGTTCTCCGGGACGGAAAGCTCAAAATCAGAGTTTCCCAGCATGTTGGCTTCCCCGTTGTTCGTTTCGGATAATCTACTTAGAAGCTCCTCTTGTGACGATCGATGCCTAGCTCCTGGCCAACCCATATTTTCTCCGTGAGCTGAGTTTGATTTCAGTTAATTCCTCACTGAGTGCAAAACGTGGCTACTAATAGCTAAACCTGGTGCCTGATCGGCTTGCTCAGCAAATAAATGGACGTGCAAAGACAATAACTCACGCCAGACAACGATAAGCCTCCAGACACCATGTCTCACACTAGGGACTGTATTCACAATGAAGCTTGCTCGGAAGCAGGATCTCGTAGAAATCTTCTACAGACTGCGCTTCGTATGCGAACAAAAGCAAATGAATCTAACTCGTGAGACCTGTAATAGAAAGGTGTCTCCCCTTACTGGAGGCCATTTCCCTCATCCATCACATGACAGAGCTTTTCCGAAGAGGTGAATAATAGTATGGTGTGTTGCATTTTTACACTAGCACGGTACAGTACAATCTGTTGAAGGCACCGCCAAGAGGAGCGTTTCAGACCGCGCCACGCTGTTGAGGGAACGGATGGGTTGGTTGGTTGGAAGGCGGGCCAACATCATAGACATGCAAATTAGTCTGGTAACCCTATTCGATGGTATGCAAAACCGTCGATACCCCAGTTCTGCTGCGCAAAATTGTCTGGTAGCGCCACTCAAAACACTGTGTAACAGCTGACGCAGCACAGAAAAGGAAGAAAATATGGGATTGAATCAGTTGCGTTTTCGATTTCGTATCGTCGTGGTTCTTACCGCGTCTTGTTCGGCGCCTAACAAATATTCCTGCCGGCTACTATTTTCCGCTAAATGTGACGAAAAATCCACTGGAATGAAAGGCTACGGGGTCCATTTCGATAACATTAATTTGGACCAATATATATCTACCGGGAAATGTAGGGGCAGGGCAGAAAAACAATAAAACCCCTAGGGACCTGGACGCATTTCTGGGAGGGATCAACCCTAAACACGGGAAAGGACATTGTTTTTAGGGTTGATGCCTCCCTGACGCATCCCTTTCCGATCGGGTTTTATTTTTTTCTTGGCCCGAAGAAATCACGTCTTAGCGCGAAGGCAAGCGCGGTAAAGATCAAATTTGAATTAAAAACGAACGTGCTTTCAGGGCAGCATGTCAATAACTTGCAAACAGAGGTAAGACGGTTTTGCATACCATTGGATAGGGTTACCAGACTATTTTGCATGTCTATGATGTTGGCCCGTTGGAAGGCCCTTGACCATCCTGATTGGCTGGGACGGGGAATCATGTCAGCATGCTGATCGCTAGATGCCGTCCACCGCAGGAATGCGCAATAACCTACCTGGTGATCCCTAGAGGGAGATGTTGATGTGTACATACTAAACCAATTTCCATAACAGATTTGCTCTAGACACTGAAATTTCTAGCTCCAATACTTAATAAGCGCACCGAAACCCTCACTTACACTGACTTCCGTCCATTATAAACGCACAACATATGAATTCGCATGAGTGACATACCGCACCCAGCGGTATGGATTGTACGCCTTGCCCTTATTCAACACCTGCAAGTACCTGACCTGGAGCCTAGATGCGTTGTACATTGGAATATTGAATGACAGGCTGATTGGACCAGTCTCCTTCTTCATGTTTCCTGAACCCCGCTCCTGATTCAGAGTCATCTTTGCCCGACATGTATGCTCATTCCCGCCACCCGGCATCTTCTTAATAGTCCACTCCAGAGTCTTGGACGCATCCTTGAAATCCGTTGACTGTCCCACAGCTCCAGGGTCTAAGTCACAGCTCACTTTAATCACACTCTTGGGCAGTGGCACACGGACGACAATGGAGTTGGCAGTTGCTGTAGCGGGAAACTCTGCCTTTAACTTTATGAACAGCTCTACCTTGAAAGGGGTAATCTCCTCCAGAACTGGATACACCCGGAACGGAGGCTTGAACTCGTGTGTCATGCGGTAATTGATGACTGAGAACTCCCCGTCTGGTGGCACGAGTGTCATTGTCCGGTCCACATCAAAAGTATCCAACCGCACGCTCTCATGAAAGTTGCAGTCATCCAAAACAACGATTCCAAATCCTCCACTCCCATCCTCCCCCATCCCGCCTCCCCCTCCATACAGCAACGACGGTGGAGCGTTCCTCTGGCCGATAACGAGGTCCTCGTTGAGAGCTATCCTAACTTCAGGGTTCGCGGTCAGGTAACTCTTCATCTGTATGGTTCCGTCAATCTCACAAGTCAGGATGTATCCGTTGGGGCTAAAGGTTACGCTCAGCCGTTCGATCACATCAACGAACACCTCCTCCCGCTTCTTCACGCCTGTATCAGGAGCCACCACCGATCTCATCATGGCCGCGCCTGGGACCCGATTCCGACCGCCAGTCATGAACAGAGAAGCAGCGGCTCCTCCAAGCGCAGGAGGAACGATTATTCCACTTCCAGGAACCCCTCCCGGAAGAGGCGACGAGTCCATGATCGGTACTGATTCGTTAAAAACGAACGCTTTAAGCGCTTCAGTGGACATGCTCTGCGGATATCCGAAGTCCATCATTTCGTCGAGCAGCTCATAAACGAGGACGAAGTTCTTGCGAAGGGACTCCTCGTTAAGAATACCGAGGTAGTCCTTGGCAACGCGAGCGATTCGCTGCAGGAGCTCCAGGACGAAAGACGGCGAAACATTTCCGCGGGCCGTAGCGACGAATAGCAGGCCCGAGCACTTGATGTAGAGGTAATTCACTCCATCCAGGTTGAAGATCGGGGGAGCCTCTTCCGCTGCCTCATTGTCGCCTTTCCAGAACCTGAATTTCCGGAAGAAGATCTCGGGGCTCGTTTTCGGCACGTCGCAGCGGTAATCTCGAAAGATTATGGAATCGCCGCGGGGAGAGAGGATAAAGAACTGCGAGATCATGATTGGTGAGTCAAAAGCTGCCTGCCGTTCTTCCAACTGTCGCCTTAAAAAGGAGGTTAACAATATCAGAGCAGTCTCGTCGCAACCTAATCGAAGAAACGGCGAGAGCGAATAAGGCTAATAATAAACTAGCCACCTGATTGACCAGCAAGAGCACTAAACTAGTCAACCTAGAACAGCAAGCTGCCTCACCGACCAGATCTAGTGGGCGAGGAGAGCGAACTGCAAAAGCAGGAGAAAGGCGGAAAAGAAAGGAGAAAGCTTCTGCACATTGACCCTTTGTGAGATAATTCGATAATTCACTATTGTCCATTCGGCACCCGAAATAGCTTATGAGAATTAATATCTTCATGCTAATCATGTCACGCATGAAAATATTTAGAGAGCACTATACGGATGATTGATCATTGAACGAAGTTTTAACATGTTTACCTACTTAGAAAAAGAAGCAATTGTGGGAACATTCTCAACGAAGAGTCCTATTGCGAGGTATTTGGAGATTTGGGATGGCACCAGCATTTGCATGTCTGTCGTTCTTCAGATGACCATTTTCATGCAAAGCTCCGTCCCAGCATCCACTCATGCCGCTGATTCTTGAGCTTTCGGGGTTCAGATTTCTCGAGGGTGCCTTCGCTCTCAGCCGTCGCCATGGCTTCTCTAGGGATTTCCACTTTGTCTAGAGGATCTAGACTTCTGCCGCTTTCAAAGGGGTGGGATTCAATGAGTTGCATCAAACGAAACGGTTTCCTCCATTCAAGCAGCCGAGCGCATGGTCGAAGGGTTCATGTCGCAAGTGCTTGCGAGAGTCGGAGAATGAGTGGTGGTGGTAGGGAACAAAAGGAAGAGAACCAGGTTGGAACTAGAGTGCACAGTGATGTGCATCCGTTATCGATGGACTCGGCTGCAGCGAGAAGTGAGTCTGCGAAGTCAACGAATGTGTCAGCAGATGTGTCAGGAGGTAGGTCAGGAGATGCGTCGGTAGTTACTTCACCAGTTACGTCACCAGTTACGTCAGCAAATTCGTCAACAGATGACTCAGTAGATGCGTCAGTTGATACGTCAGGCCATATGTCAGGGGATTCGACTGGAGGTGCGTCAGCATTGAAACAAAAGGCAAAGGGCAGCACGGTTGATGAGCCCGCTCCAGTCCTACCAAGTTTTGTGGAGGTTAGCTGCTGTAGCCAAGAAGCTCTTAACGAAGCGTTGACGGAGCAAGAAGCTGAGCATGAAATACGGACGGCGACTTCAGGGCGGCAGCACCATGATGGTACGACTTTAATGTTCGACCCTCCCTTGCCACGTTGGGGTCTCGTGTCGTTTTCTTCTCAGCTTGCTGTCTCTTCTTCCGTACAGTTCGCAGTTCCACTCTCGAAGCTTCATATCTGTATCGCTTCCTTCTTTTTAATTTCAAACTTCGCATCTTTTACTTTCATTAAAGCCCTCACTGCTGCTGACGTTTCTCAACCCATTCCCCACGCGCCATTGGTTTTTAGGGTTCGCCATCCGCGTGGTCTCATACAACGTCCTCGCCCAGGCATGTGTGTATCAGTAGCCTACTCCTCCCGTCCTCTTGCCTTTCAGATTGCTCTTGCGCCTTTCTCTCATGCATTCTAATCATCTGCGTCTCTTGCACCTTGCTAAAGCTTCTTCTTTTTTATGAAGTCCCTGCTTTTGTGTTAACTCCGAGCGTGTCTTACCTTTTCCCCGTCTCAGTACCCACTCTCTCCATACCCACTCTCCCTGTGCCGACCCTCCCTGTGCCCACCCTCCCTGTGCCCACCCTCCCTGTGCCCACCCTCCCTGTGCCCACCCTCCCTGTGCCCACCCTCCCTGTGCCCACCCTCCCTGTGCCCACCCTCTCTCTAACCCACCCTCGCCCTGATCATTCTTGCAGCGGTCTCTCGCAAGAAGTTTCCCACCTCTCCTCCCCTCTCTCTCAGGTACACTCCTTCCCTCTCTCTCAAATACACTCCTCCTTCCCCCTCTCTCAGGTACGCTCTTCCTTCCCTCTCTCTCAGGTACACTCCTCCTCCCCTCCCTCACAGGTCCCTCTCTCTCAGGTACGCTCCTCCTTCCCTCTTTCTCAGGTACGCCCAATATTTTGCTGCATTTCTCTCATATTGGCGAGTAATTTTCATTGGTTTCCATGTTTCCATCTTTCACTCCATTCCTTCGACTTCCAGTGCTTTCTAATCAGCTGCTCTCTTATCTCTTGCGGTCCACTTTTATTCACTACTTCACCTATCACTCATATTTACCCGCCAATCACTTTTTACTGCCACTCACCTGTGAATGCCCAACCTTCACCTATTTCTGCTCCCACGCTCCTCCGTGCTATCAGAAAGAGTTACCGCATCCATGCCCGCCTTTCTCTCCTGAACTCCTTCGCTGCTGATTTCATCTGCGTTCAGGTGAGCCTACCGGATTCATTCCCCCTCCTCTCCGCCCATTTCGTAAGCTTCTTAAACACCATGCATACATCCATAGGCTCTTGCTCCTCAACCCAAACTGTTTCGAATTTATTTGGTGCTGAAGCAAACAAGAATTCACCGTGCCATCGTGACATATTGCTCCTGTTGTGGTCGTTTGTTAAGCTAGAAGAGAGACGTTGCTTACATTCGTCACCATGTTATGTTCTCTCAGTTCTCCCACCCCAATTCCCTCCATGCATGCCACTTCTTCTCCTTGCCTAATTTATTCTACGAATACACACACATTCCTCACATTGTGAGACTCCTGAAGCTATACTTTGAATACATCTCAAAACCCCATCCAACACCCCCCTCTTCCTCTTTTTGTCCTTGTATTCCATTGCCACCCACCTAATGCTACCCCAGGAGATGGAGCACAAGCATTTACTGCACACGCCCATGGCTCTAGAGGGATGGCATGTGGTGTATGCCAAGCGGCCAGGCCCACATGCTGATGGTAGCGGCATCTTCTACCACTCTGAAAGGTACATACATGCAGGCATGGCCATGTGCATGTAGGCATACCGTGTGCATGTAGGCATACCGTGTGCATGTAGGCATACCGTGTGCATGTAGGCATACCGTGTGCATGTAGGCATACCGTGTGCATGTAGGCATACTGTGTGTGTGCATGTAGGCATACCGTGTGCATGCTGGGGTGGCCATGTGTTACTTTTGAAATTTCTCAGAAGCCATGTATTGTTGTTGATGTGCCAGATATTGCCTCCTTTAACTCCACCCACGCGCCAACCACTTGTTATTCTCAACCACACGCCCTTGCCGCTACCACTTGTACCTTTCGCGATTTTTTTTTTTTTTTTTTTTTTTTCTGCGAACGTTTTCCCTTCATGGCATTTCAGGTTTCGAGTTCTTCGTTCCTGCGTAATCAACTTTAACGACCTCGTTCCTCAAGATGAAGGAACAGACAGTTCGTCTACAACCGCTGCTTATAGGGAGGATGGGGAGCACCATCATGAGCAGCAGGCCAGGCATCGGTTTGAGAGCCCCCGCATGGAGCAGCATCATGGCTCGGGCCACCACATTCATGTGCTGGATGATCATCACCTCAGCAACGAGAATAGCCATGCTGACCATCAAGAAGACACCACTCACGAAGACGACTCAGCAGACCATCATGACCATCATCGCCATCAGCAGGAGCAGGAGGGGCAGCAGCAAAGGCAGGAGCATCATGACCATCACCACCATCATGGCCATCAGCATCACCATCAGCAGCAGCACCACCACCAGCAGCAGCAGCAGCCTCCTGACATGTCAGACCCTCAGATTCGCTTCAAGCGCGACTGCGTTGCTGTTGTTGCTGCCTTTCAAGAGATCGATCCGCCAGGCTCCTCCAACTCCTCTGAAACGGCTGGGGGTTCTTCTGCACAGGGCGTACCTGGTGGAGGTCGCATTGTCATTGTGGTCTCGTCTCACATATACTGGTACAGTGCAGTTCCTGCCTCCCTCCTTTTCCCCACCACCATCCTCCCACCCTCCCCACACCAAATCCCGATGCATGTTATGTTCCTGGCAGTTTTCCCTGTGCTGTTTTCCAAATGGGGCGTGAGCGATGCTTGATGTGATGGCATTTAGACGTGGCGTCGACCGTCGAGCACCCATCCACCTGTTTGCACCCTGCCTGTGTATGCGTCAAACCACTCTACCTTTTAACATGGGCCATCCCACTGTATTCATGTCATCCCACTGTGGCCGTGCCATCTTTTTGTGTTCTTTGTGAGCTCTGCAGGAATCCCATCTGTCCTGATGTGAAACTAGCTCAGGCCCAGTACCTGCTGCAGGAGGTGGCGCGATTCAGATCGGATATAGAAGCTCTTTATAATCACCATTACCACGGGCCATCACAGCTAAGTGCCGACTTTCAGTTAAGAGGAGGCGGATCTCACGTGGATGGTTCGTGCGTTGAGGGGAAGAAGGAGAAGAATCATTTTCCGGTGATCATTTGTGGTGACTTCAACTCGCAGCCTGGAGACCCGGTAAGACCTTTTCTGTACTTTGCTCAGGGCGGTCGAAAACGTAACCCCCAACCCACCTTCTGTTCTTCCGGGGGTGGCTTTTCATTTCTTAATGCAAACATACCCTACATCATCACAGCTACCCAACTATTATATCCCTCACTTCAGGTGTATACATATCTTGTTTCTGGTGGGACAAGTAATCAGGGGTACGAGGAAGATGGCAGCACGAGTGGCGAGGGCTATGCAGGTGGTTGCTCAGCAGCCAATCCTGCGCCCATTCCACTTGCAAGTCTCAATGCGTTGGCGTCCAAAGAGAGATCAATGTGCCATGCTGCACATGCTTCACCGACTGATTGGGACGACTTGCCGCAGAACCTCGAGCCTGCGTTTACAAGCTTCACTGCGGAGTTCAAGGCAACCGTGGATTACATTTTTGTATCTAGGGATTCTGGAGATTTTTTGGTGCACTCCACTATATGGATTCCGAATGATTCAGATGCTCACTTGGCTGGGGGTTTGCCAAACCTCTTTCTCCCTAGCGACCATTTACCCATTGGAGGGGATGTTGTATTTGATACTTGAGTGAATTACCCATAACGAAGATGAGCGAAAGACATCAATGTCGGCTGAGTCTTCGCGAGTTATCGCATACGCCCACGCGATCATCAGCTTGACAATCTTTCCTCCAATATTATCCCTCGGGCAGAAAGGGGGATCCAGGCTTGACCTGCTTGAGAAATTCGACCTTCGCGTGCCCCCCTTTAGAAGCACACGCCGTGGCGAATCTGCTCGACGGTTCGGGCAGGGTTGTTGGGACATGGAAGGTTCGGAAGGGAACCCTGGTCCTGACGGCTGCGTTACCATGCTGAACCGAACCAAACCGCTCGGGATACTCGGGCTGAAACCGACAGATACCCAACCACCCACGCATCAGAGCAGTTCAAAAAGGCCCTCAGATTGGGAACTTGGAGAACAGGAGCGGCAGTATCTAGGTCTGCTTTCAAGTCAGCCTCGCACTTTCGTGCCTTATCTTGTAGAACGTGTGTCAGTCTGTCACGCTACGGCTGGTATCCTCTGGAGTTTCGGTTCGTTGTAGCTGCTTGCTCAGGCATAGTTTTCTAAGTTGTGCGTCTCATATGGATGCCTGTATCCGGTTAAGACTGGCGTCGCACGTGCATTTCCCTGGTTTAGGGTAAACATCACCACTGTTCACTGGCTTAGGGTAATCATCACCACTCGGTTAACTTATCTCGCATCGCCTTCAGCGCCTATTAAGTATGCGAAAAGTACTCGTAGCATCCCGTTTTCAGTTGACAAAAGAACTACAGACGGCTTGATCACCATGCTCTTTTGAAAAGGGTTCTCAACTGGCACTGTTTCCGTCATCTTTAACGACCGTAGACCCTTCCTGGCCGTGTTTCTCAGGGTGTAGGAACACTTGAATAATATTAATAGGAACACCGAAATAGACGAGAGCTCATTAGGAGCCATGGACGACGAGCCGATTATTCCGATGTCAGACCCCGTGGCGCTTCTGTCCCACATCGAGGTCCCTAATCAGGTAAATACGTCACTCTCTGGCTTTCAACATCTGGTAAATATGTTTTGTTTAAGTTGTATGTTTTCGGTACCAACACAGGGAAGTTCTTTGCTCACGGAAACGATCTTCTTCCTCGACTGTTATCGCGTTTCCCGCTCTTGGTTCAGGTTCGGTCCGTTATCATGGGGGGTCCTGGAAACAGCAACAACTCGTACTACGCTTATTTGGAGGCCATAGATCGGCTGCACGGTGCAGTGCGGTTTATAGAGGAGGAGCTACGAAACGGCCGGTACCTTATTGCTAAGGCGATGGAGAATGTCAAGCAAGACTTCAGCAAGCTGCTAACCAACAGCAGGTAGCTTCACCGCCTGATTGTAGTTGCATTTCGCAGGACGGAGTCGCCCTGTAGCGCAGGAAACGTACATCAATACCACTCGGAGGCGGTTATAACCTCTTAAAGGCGTTAAATTGCGACACCAGGACTCACACAGGAAGTCGACTATTTTCCGGGTGAAAGCTCTTAATCAGCTAAAGCGAATCAAGGTATCCTGTTGATGGACCAATGAAAGTGATTTCCTCTATTTTCTATGTTGTCTCTTATTGGACTGCCATTTCGCTTATGCCGGTTACTCTCCTCGACTCTTGTAACCCGCGTACTCCCGTGTGACTTTCCAGTTTGTTTCCCAACCTAGACGAGTTGAGGGAGGCGATGCTATCTGAGGAATCACCTGACCATATATCACCGCCGGAGATGGTGGAGGCTGCAGCCATTCCGAAACTACATGCCATGGCCCAGCGGTTGATCGATAACGACTGCGCGCCAGACTGTTGCAAAATGTACCGGTGAGTAAGCAGTGGGTTAAAGAAATGGCTCGTTTGTTTCTCTGCGCAGGTCTGCACGGGTTTTGAGAGGTTTATACCCGCACATGACTACTTCGAAACACCTCAAAAAGTCTATCCCCATTACACAGTTTCTGGCCAACGTACCTACACGTCATTACTTAGGTACCTTAAAACAAACGCTCGCTGTCCTATCATACAGTCTTCAGCCAACTTAAAGCAACTGTGCATGCAGCAGGTATCAACCAGCAGCACCTTATTCTCTCGCCCACGTTTTCTTTTTGATTAACCCGCTTTCCCCCGTCCGCATTCGCTCGCCTTCTTCCGCCTGCGCGATGCGGGAGCCTGCGTTAAAGCGTAACCTTTACCGGATGGACGTGCAGCAAGTGACCTAGAGAATTCTCATTTTTCTCCCCTTCCACCCAACTCCCCCCCCGTCTCCCCCCCTCCACCACGCCGTTTCCCCTCTATTCTCCTCCCCTTCCCCTCCCCCACCCACCCCATTTTCTGCGTTCCCGTGTCCCCCTCCGCGCTTCTTCCGCCAACGGAGCAGCGAGATGCGGGAGGCGGCGCTGAAGCGCAACTTCCAGCGGCTGGGCGTGCAGCAGGTGACCAAGGCGGAGATCCAGAGCACCCCGTGGCCGCGCCTGGAGGAGAAGATGCGGCGCTGGAGCGAACACATGCACATCGGGGTATGTGGCATATCCACATGTAGATGGGGTTATGTGGGAGGGTGGAGTGGACACATGCACATCGGGGTACGTGGGAGGGTGGACACATGCACATCGGGGTATGTGGGGGGGTGGACACATGCACATCGGGGTATGTAGCGTATCCACATGTAGATGGGGGTATGTGGGAGGGTGGAGTGGACACATGCACATGGGGGTATGTGGGAGAGTGGACACATTCACGGCGGGATATGCCACATCGGGGTATGTGGGAGGGAGGGGGGACACATGCACAGCATGGTGTGCATGCACATCGGGGTATGTGGAGCGTGGGCATGTACACATTGGGGCATGCAGTGCACGGGCACATGCACATCGGGGTGAGTAGTTGATGTGCTAGCACATGCGCACTGGGGCATGTATAGTGGGGTGGATGAAACCGCACAGGGATGCGCATCCCCCCACCCACCCACCCTCCAAGGCCATGAATAGCTGTCTAAGGTCACGCAAGAAGCCTCTCATCCCCTTGCTCCTCATTGCCCTTCCATGTCCCCTTTTGCTCACCCGCGCCCCTCCTCGGTCCCCATTGCTCCCCCTTACCCTGGCTCGGTCCCCCTTTGCTTCCCCATTGTTCCCCTTGTGTGCGACACCGTGTTTACGCTGAGGACTTCTGCTTCGTCCCGTTCACACAACGCGCTCCTTCAGATGATTCTGGTGGCGGGCGAGAGGGAGGCATGCGACCAGGTGTTTGCGGGCCTGGAGAAGCACGGCGAGCAGTGCTTTGTAGATCTCTCGCGCTCCTGCATCATCCTGCTCACACACTTTGGCGACGCCATCTCCGTCATCAAGAAGTCTCCCGAACGCCTCTTCTCCTTCCTCGACATGTACGAGACAACACTCGACCTCAAGTCCACGGTATGTTTCAAGTCAACGCTAGTCAACGTAGTCAATGGTAGTCAGTGGTCCATGATCAAGTGAACGGTACATGCTGAGCCAAGTCAACGGTAGTCAACGCCAGTGGCCCATGATCAAGTCAACACGAGTCAATGGTGTATGTTCAAGTCAAGAAGTCCGCCGAGCACTTCTTCTCCTTCCTCGACATGTACGAGACGACACTCGACCTCAAATCCACGGTACGTGCTGAATCAGTCAGCGCTAGTCGATGGTACCCCGAATATCTTTTCTCCCCTTCGTGTACACGTACGAAACAAACGCTCGACCTCAAGTCCACGGTACGTGGCGACTCAATTCAATGATAGTTAACACCCATGCGCTCCCACTCCTCCCCACTTCCTCCCCCCACCCACTCCTCCTCCCCTCTCCCTCTTTTCCCGCCCCCTCCTCTGTGACTGCAGGTGGATGAGCTGTACCGAGCAGAGGAGGGCCGGGAAGTGCGGGAAAACTACCAGGAGCTGCTGACAATTTTGGGGCGGGCAGCCCGAGACACGTTTGAAAAGTTTGAGGACGCAGTGAAGGCACAGCCGACGGCGGAGGATATGAGTGGCATGGGGGGCATGGGGGGTATGGGCAGCATGGGCCAGGCAGGAAACGTTCCCCGTGCAGAGATGCTTCGGAACGGAGGGTTCCTCAACAAGCTGAAGAAGTGAGTGCCTTTTTCTCCTCATCTTTTCTTTCTTAATCTCCTGAAAACGGGCTGCGAAACTGTTTTCAGGTTCTTCCACTCACCCTCATCTTCCTCTTAATTCCCCCCCAAATTGCTGTTGAAGGCAGATGGGCGAGGTGGGCGGGCAGCAGGACGTGGCAGCCTAATACTGCTCTCATCCCCCCTTCCCTTCTCCCACCCACAACCCTTCCAGGATGATGCTGAAAGCAGACGACAATATGAGCGAGGTGGGCGGGCAGCAGGACGTGGCAGCATCCAACGCCAGTGGGGACGTGCACCCCATCACCAGCTACGTTGTCAACTACCTGCTGCTGCTCTGCAACAGGTGAGGATGGGTGCAGAGAGGTGGAGTGCGGTGGGAATGGTGGTAGTAAGTGGTTCCGTTCATTTCGCAGGAGGGACATGCATCCCATCACCAGCTACGTTGTCAACTGCCTGCTGCTGCTCTGCAACAGGTGAGGATGGGTGCAAAGGGGTGGAGTGCGGTGGGTGGTAATATTAAGTGGTTCATTTCATTCCACAGGGGACGTGCACCCCATCACCAGCTACGTGGTCAACTACCTGCTGCTGCTCTGCAACAGGTGAGGATGGGAGAAGAAGAGCTGTGGGAAAGGGATGGGGAGGTTGATGGGGTTACATTCTCTGATTGAGGATGGATGGATGGGCCGGTTGCACCCATCTCCACCCATCCGCCCATCCACACACACACACATCCATCTCCCCCCTCATCCTCCCATCCACACACACACACCCACCCACACACACAATCCCATCCACACACACTCCCATCCCCACTCACCTATCCCACCCTCCATATTCCCCTTGCCCACCCTGACCCCCATGCGCACTTCCATTTAAACACACCCCCAGCGACCTGCCGTACTTCTCCATCCTGGAGTGCGTGTTTGAGGACATGGCCAACACCGCCAACGAACACATGGTGCAAGGAGCCCACCTGGCATCCCCCCTCCCCCTCCACCCCCCCGCTCCCCCTCTTCTCCCCCCCCCCCCCCAGCGACCTGCCGTACTTCTCCATCCTGGAGTGCGTGTTTGAGGACATGGCCAACACTGCCAACGAGGCCGGCTCCTCCATCATCACGCCGCGCGTGCAGGGCCGCCTCGCCTTTGCTGCTGCACGCATCTTAGAAGCACTCAAAGTTAACCTGCAGCACCGCGCGCTCATGCTGAGGGATGACGCTCTGGGGGAACTCTTTCTGATGAACAATTTGGCCTACGTGCTCACCAAAATAGACGCGTGAGTGCCTTGGCTTCTGTGACTGCTGGAGTTCCAGTTAGAATCCTGGAGGCACTCTCTTCTGTTCGCTGCTGCGCGCACCCTGGAGGCCCTCAAAAGTATTGTTTCTCATGAACAACCTGGCCTATGTGCTTACCAAGATAGATGCGTAAGTATTGCATCTCCTTCGCTGCTGCTGCCCGCATTCTAGAGGCCGTCCACTGTCCCTTACCCCACCGTCCCACCCCACCGTCCCTTACCCCACCGTCCCACCCCACCGTCCCTTACCCCACTGTCCCTTGTATGTTGACATTCAGTGCATTCTCATGTGTTTTATTCCTTTCCCTCTCCATTCACCACCCTCTCACTACCTCCGTTATCCTCCTCCCCATGCCCGACCTGCCACACCCCACTCTCCCCTTCCCCGTCATATCCTTCCCCTGTCCAACTCGTGCACACAGTGCGGATGCGGGCAGGTTGCTGGGAACGGCATGGATTGGCAATTACGGGGCCATAGTGGACAGCCATCGTGACCGTTTCATCAACTCCTCCCTCGCCAAGGTGAGCATTGCTTGCTTGGCTGAGCCTGTCTTGCTCGCAATAGGCATATTTCACTTCCAACCACCCCCCCTCGCCCCACCCCCTCCCCCACTCCCTCCCCCCCACCAATCCCCCAACCACTCCCCCTCGCCCCCTCTCCTCCCCCCGCGCCTCCTGTTTTTTTCTTTCCAGCAGACTCTTTTTGTCTTCGCTGTTCCCACTCATGCACCATCACGTTATCACTAACTGTCTCCCTACCCCCCCCCCCGCCCCCCCCCCCCCTCATTTCCCCATGAGCAGTTTGACCCGGTGTGGTCTGATGATCGCCTTGACACTGCCTCTCTCGTAAAAAGGTGTGTTCTGTGAGGTGATACCCCCCGGCTGCATGTGATGCTGCCCATGCTGACTGTGCTGGCCACACTCAGCATTTTCACCATGTCAGCACCTTGTTTCCATTAACTGAGTCGTGATCATCTGCATGCTATCAGACACAATGAGCACAGATCCTGAATCTATGTTTCAACCACATTCCAAGGCCGTCTAGCAGACTTCCAGCATGAACCTATCATATGCTTAGCGCCTCTTCAACCTCCACACTCTCGAGCCTCCAATCCCCTCCTTCCTTTCTATCTGCTCTGCTGTTCTTCCATCTCCTTAACAGACTGAAGCTTTTCAACTACACAGTGGAGCAGATGAAGCAACGCTACATGGCATGGACCATTCCTAACCGGGAGTTGCGGGCGCACGTCAAGAAAATGACTCTTAAGCGGCTGCTGGACAAATACAGAGACTTCATCGTTCGGCACAGGTGGGTGGGGCTGCTTTTGTTGAGGCGCTTTTGCCAAGGCGCTTTTGTTGATGCATCTTCATACCCACACTGAAACGGCTGCTCGACAAATACAGAGACTTCATCGTTTGTCACAGTGGGTGTTGTTCGTTATTGATTGTTCATTATCGGCCAGCTGTACAGGCAGAATTCTGATTGCTCTCGAAATTAATACCAATGCCATCCACTCCCTTTCCTCCCCTCGCTACAGGAACGTGATTCAAAGCCTTTGGATTCTGGATGTGAGAGTATTCACACGCGAACAGATCGTTTGGACAGGGTTTCTAGGTCCTCCAAAGTATTCCCACATTCCTTCAACCCCTCCTCCCAACCCCCCACTTCTCCCCCCTTTCCTTTCGCTGCAGGAACGTGATTCAAAGCCATCGGACTCTGGACGTGAGAGTTTTCACGTGCGAAGAGATCGAGCAAATGCTGCTGCCATGCTTTGATACCGGGCCTTCTAGAGTCAAATAAAACAAGACCATTGAGGCAGGTTATTACACATCCGGGTTCAAGTAGGAAAAGCATAGTTGTGCTATAAATAGTGCGCGAGTTCACTGCCCAGCACTAATTTTTTGTGATTGGCAGGTTTTCTGAAAGACCAAGTAGCAACACCCCCTGGTCATACGGGTCATGGAACGGAGTGGTAGTGGAACTTATCAACTGACAGCATTTCCAAGTGCTGGTAACAAATGGTACCGTAGCCACCTGTCTGAGAAGGTTTTGGGCATTACCCCTGGATCACTTGGATAGTGAAGTCTTTGTTTTCGGAGGGTACCAGCAGTGAGCTGTGGTATTCTAATCTCAGCTTTTTTTTTTCAGGTCATTTTACGGTATGACTAACAGCATTCTACAAGAAGCTTTCACAACCCATGCTATGACACTACTCCTCTAGTCTACACTGTATTGTGACGCCATGCCAGGGTGCTTACACTGAAGCAACCTGGAGGTTGTCGTGATACTTCCAAGATTACACTCTGTTTTTCATCCTATCTTCAGCCCACTGGAACTTTGCCTAAGTGCAAGGGTCGCAAGATGCGACCATTTGCACGCAGGACAGGCAGAGAGTCACTGGGCACACATGAGCAGAAGCTGAAGCACTTCCACAATATCAATCGAGGCATGGTTAGCAGTGGCTCACGATCTTGACTGGAGGCAGCAGGTCAAATGCCTCAGCTGCTACTGATGCCACAGATGCCACATTCTTGACGCTACAGATGCTTCACGCATGCTGCCACAGGGACTGCCTCCTCTTCATCACACTGCTGCTGCTAACCAGTAGCGTTTCAACAGTGCTGTCACCTCTTCACACCTCTTCACACCTCCCTTAACCTTTCCAGCAGCTCCGAATCCTGGCCATCGCTCAGAAGAACAGACAGCGGCCCCGAACCTCCACCATCCATCAGGCACGACGACGAAGCTGCCAATCCATCCGCCACCGCCCCTACCGAGCCTCCACCGCCGCCAAAGCTACTGACCAGCGCCGGGTCGCGGAATCCTCCCGAACCTGGTCCCTCCATCGCGGAGTAATCCAACAACCCCTGATGGGGCAATAGCTCCTGTCCCTCCTTTACCCCCAAATCTTCAGAGAAAGAAGTGATTCCGCCCAGAGACGCACCTCCCCCAGACATGCCTCCAGCCACCCCTTCAAACCCACCCACTCCCCCAGGTAACCCTCCCCCCAGGCTTCCCCCAATGCCCTTCCCCCCACCGCCTTCCATCTCCGCCTGCATACTAGACGCCTCGTTATAGCTATAATTCTGCAGCAGCTGCTCGTTTTCATCCGTCAAAAGCGAGTACAGCCCGTCCCAGTCCTCCCCCTCACTGTCCTCCCCATCCTCCACAGCAGCCCTTAAAGCCACCTTCCTCCTCATCTCCTCGAATACGGACCGCTCGACACAAGCCTGCTTGTCCCCCACCAGCCAGAGGGACCGCTGCGGAAAGAAGATTTCCCGGGCGGCTCGGAAGCGCGAGAGCGAGGGGCAGTCAGATAGGACAAGAAGCTCCACTGGGTCGCCGCGGCGCAGGCACACGCTCTTGTGAGGCGGCACCACGTCCATCTGTATTGCAAGAGGGGTGTGGGAGGGGGGGGGAGAGAGAAGGTGGGGAAAGGAGGGAGGGGGACGAGGGGTGGATATAAAGGAGCGGAAATAGAGCAAGCAGGAGTACAGGAGCCGTTCGCAAGCTCAAAACACGGTGGCTACTAAGAAGTTGGTCTTGGAATCGAAGTGAGTTACATTCAATCATAATCTCAATTATAAACTCAATAATAAACTCAATTATAAGCTACTGCGAAAATGGAACTGACCTCCAGGGTTGTGCGGCTGTGGTCGCCAATCAGCACGCGCCACCTGGTCTGCCGCCCCACGCGCACCACCTGCAAGTCCAGCAGCCGCGCCTTCCACAGCCCTGATGGTTGGAGGGAAACAAACCGGTGCGCAGGGAGAGAGAAAGACAGAAGACAGAATTCGCATGAGTGCGCGAGAGAAGCACGAGAAGAACAACCTTTTTGCCATCACTCTCCGCCCTTTAACGCTGCGACATCCAACAGACCCCTCACCCTCCCCCCCCCTCTCTCCCCCAATTCCTACAAACCACATTTCCCTCCTCCCCATTCCCCGCTACCCTTTTCCCTCGTTTACTCACCAGCATGCCTGTACCGAATCCGCATAGCCAGATTCTTCGCCGCAGCGCGCCAAATCGGCCACCACGCCCAGTAGAACGCGGCAGTCACGGCGGCGACCACGCTCACACTGTACAGCGCCACGGCCAGACCCACTGACATCACGAACCGCCTCACCCACGCCGCCGGGCCGCCCAGCATCTGCAGCACCTGCGGCCCGGTCCCTGCGAGCGGAACGAGCAGCGCCAGCGCGCCGTCCGCCAGCGCGTGCACGGCCGGCAGGCGCCGCGGCCGGACGGCAGGGCGGCCGGCAGAGAGGTCCGCCGGGTGGAGTTCGTGCGGACGAGCGGGGGAGAGGGCGGGCGGGGCCTTGCGCTCGGGCAAGGGGGCGAAGTGAGGGGCTTGGCGGGCGGGGGAAGGGGGGAGCGTGGGCGTGGGGGAGGTGGGGCGCGCGGGGAGGGATTGCGGGGCGACGAGATCAGGACTGCGAAGGTGCGCGGGGGGAGCCGACGAAGTTGCGGAAGAGGCAGAGCGGGTGCGGGGAGCGGAACGGGAATACGCGGGGAGTCTGCGCGAGGGAGGCTTGGCGGTGGCGGGAATCGGGTTACCAGCAGCGGGCTTGGCGGAAGTGTTTGTCAAGCACAGCAGGCTTGGCGCCAATAGCCGACAATATAGAGTCATTGAGTGACAGCTTAAAAGCAGCTGTGGACGATAACGGGGCTGCTTGTACCGAGGACACTGTGGGCGGCGCAGATCCGGTCGTGCGCGGCGCAGACGCGGCGGAAGAAGGGAGAGGTTCGGCAGCGGGCGGCGCAGACGCGGCCTTCAGAAAGGGGGCGAACGCTGGGGCGGCGACGCGGCGCCTCAGGCGCGCGGACGACGCGGGCGCGCCAAACCTCCCCCCGGGCGCGGAGAAAGACGCGCAAAACCCTTCGCGCACGTGGAACAGCGGCAGGGTCACTGCGCCAGGGTTTAACAGCTCCCTGGCGGAACCCATACCGCGATACATTTCAGGATGCGCGCGCGCTGACACGGGCCGCGCTGAAGTAGCAGAGACTGACGAAGGAAGATGCTCGGAAATTTCCAAGGGCTTTCGTAAGTGCACAGCAGAGTCGGAGTATCTTGGAAGAACAGAAATCGTCGGCAGAACTGACGGAGTCGGCAAACCGGTTAGTGAACCGGCCAGCAGGCCGGTATGTGTACCGTTAGACAAGACGGACGCGCTGGGAGCACCACGCGGTAAACCCTCCTCGGCAAAATCTGGAAACCGCTGCCGTGCCGAAACGGCGCCTGCGCCGCCGCCGCCACTGCCACAGTCACCGTCGCCATCGAATCGACAGTCGGATAGTCGATCAATCTGGCGATCCGTCAGTAGCGCCGCGGGGCCCATCGTACCGCTCTCCGCCATGACCTCTGCGAGCTCCGCGCCGGCCGCCGTCATTTCTGCCGTCGCCTCTACCGTTTTCTCATCCAGTCCCGAGACTCTAGTGTCGCTTCGGCCGTGTGAACAGGAAGACGACTCAACTGCGACGCATCCACTGCTTCCACTGCTTCCGCTGCTTCCGCTGTTTCCGCTGCTTCCGCTGTTTCCGCTGCTTCCGCTAATTCCGCTGATTCCGCTGCTTCTGCGCCCTAGTGTTGCGGCGACTCCGCGGGCAAAAGTAGGCGAATCGCCGTCATCCCAATCCCCGTCCCGGCTTTCCGCTTCCCATATGGCCTCAAATTCCCCGAATCGGCCGCCTGACGCTGACGTGGAAACGGAGCACGAAAAGGAACACCTCCGCCTTTCTGGAGTCATCGCTTCGTTCGCGAATACTAATCTTTCGCCATAGAACTCAGAGTGAATGCTGGGAGAAGTTGCTGATGGGCTCGGCGTGAGTGACGCTGGTCGAGAGCCTGCATCAGTGGACCATCGCCGGCCTTTGTACTTAAAGCTCGATCCTGAATGGAAACTGTACGAGCGGGTGAAAGTCGCTTCGCCAATTTCGCGAGCTTCGCGAGCCTTTTCGCGGCCGGAGAAGCCGAAAGGAGTCCGCGGGGAGACGAGGGAGGAGGGCGAGGACGGAACGGAAGCGGGAGCGGGGGAGTGATGCGAGTGATACGGGCACGAGAGGCTGCTGTGGGCGTAGGAGCACGCGCAGAGGTTTCCCGGCGACGCCATGGTTACGGTTCGGGAGCGACTGTGGTATGGGAAGTCCGAGCCGCCGCTGCACGTTCGGCTAAGGCAAGCTGAAGGTGGGTGATTTACCGCATGCTTGGCTGAGCGCGTAGTCGAGTCGATTTTGAGTAGGCCCTTGATCTTCATATACTTGCTAAAGAACACTCAGGAAAAGAGAGAACGAAAAAGAAAGATAGAGAGGGCCTGCCTTATGCCTCTCAGCTGGCGACAGGATAGAGGCGTCGTTTATTCGAAGAAAAACTGTTTGCGCTTTTGTGAAGAAATGGAGGATCCTGGTTTTTGGGGCTGGGCTAGTCGCTCGTTCTTGTACGCGAAGGATTTGTGAAGAGTTGGAAGCTCGAGCGTTGACGGCGGACCTAGAAACTAACAGCAGGCATAGGGAATCGCTTGCCCAGAAGCTGCTGAAGTCTGGAAAGTAGACTCCAGGAAATAAGTAGTTCCCGAATCCCGAGACGAGACATGTCGCACACAGCGGATTAGTTCACTGGAAAGATCGCATACACCTGGAACCCAAGTAGCTTGCGACGGTTCAAGTTGGGTGTACGACTGCAGAGGCGATTGTGAAGGTTTTGAGGGGCAGGTCTAGTGGTGTGATTGGAGGAGCGAGTCGCGACGAAGTCCGTGCGACCCTATCTTCTGGAGGTTGCCGTGCCGTTCCCGCTACGGACGGCTTCCAAAGCAAGGTGCACCACACATTACATTGCAATCGTCTACCGACCGACACGGGAAAGTTTTCAGGAGGGTCTCCACTCCAAGCACTGTTTCTTCCTAAGGGTTCAGGTTTTTTTCCTGACAGAAAACGGTTAAAATGTGTTATCGCTTTTGAAAGCACTAAACCGAACAATCTCGTGAGTCGTGACGCCAATCTTTGTGATTTTGCGTCCCTGACCGATCTTCTTGGGTCAGGGGCTCAGTGGCTGCCGAGATTGTTTCAAGCGCAATCTGGGCAGCCACGTCAACTCGTTCCACTTTATGTGCGGCGCCGGAGTTCCGCTCTGCACAATGGCGCGCTGTAGTGCGATGATTGGCTGACAATGGGTCTGGCCTTGGCTGGGGCACTTTTTTACAGAAATGTGGCGGGAGGTTTTGCTGCCCCAGGGACGACAGTGTGGCAGAGTTGGATGGCAGTCACCAGCATCCTGTTGGAAGGGGAAATTCGTTCTGTGGCCAAGATTTGTGCGACAATCAATCACCCTATATCCATACAAGTCCCATCCTCATCGTAGGCCTCTTGTGCTGTACGGTCCTTACAAAATCTTCCAAAGTCCAATTACGAAGAGTATCATAACGGGTATTCTACCAACCAACCACATCACAGATGCTATCATTTCCAAGCCCAATCCAGCCCTCAAATAAAACCACTGGATAGGTGCTGGTTCCTAGTTTTAGGTCAGAGGTCAGGCTAGGCAATACCATGCTCTTTACTTGCAGCAGCATCATCGCGGCTTTCATGAGTTAGGTTTCTGTCCTGACTATAGTGAGAAGCTGCAGTTATTTATATTGGTTAAAGCGGTAGGTGTGACTGTAACGTGTTAGTTTTCTCCCTCTACGACTGAACACTCCCCGCGGAGGGAGCTCCGCGGCTCCCGTGGCTGGTTTGAAGCGGTCGGCGGACGGCGCAATAGACGGCAACATGAGTCTCTTCGGCGTGGGCCGGTACGCGCTTAACCCTTAACTGCCGCAAATGCCTGAGGTTTCATATCCTTAATAATACGAGGACGTTAAACTTCATTTGCACCTTCTCATTTCTGGTTCAGTTATTTCATGCCGCTGCTCGATCTGCAGGGCACATAGCTGGCTAGGTTATTGAAATTTTGTCCTTTCTTGTCGCAGGAATCAGCGGACGTTCCGGCCGAAGAAAAGCGCGCCGTCAGGAAGCAAGGTACGAGAATTTTAGGTGCATTTTTTCCAGTTGCTTTTAAGGTAGTTGACAATGCATAATTCTTCTTTTATCGTCGCATGCTCCGCCAGTTGTTGCATTGTTCGTATATAAAAAGAACTGATAGTAGACGACAAAAGAAAAGCATTGATTGTTGTCACACCTTATCTGAAACGTTTGGCGAATGATTATACACGGCAATGCTGCTTCTGCATCGTGCCCCATTTTTTCGTCCGATCATCTTCAGCAGCTGGCCGAGCACATCGGCTCAAGGATAAAACATTGTCTAACCATCTGTACCCCATCTTTCCTTCTCATATTCCCTAATTTCCGTCCGCGCAGGGTCAGCAGCTCCGCAAGCACATCGATGCCACGCTCGGCAGCGGCAACCTTCGGGAGGCCGTCAGGCTCCCGCCAGGCGAAGACCTCAATGAGTGGCTCGCCGTCAACAGTGAGTTAAACCAGACTGCTTGTCGTTACCTTAGCTTCGCGTTAAACGGCCTTCGTGCCGCTAACGATTTTCTCTATTTCCGTTCGACTGCTACTGTAACTTGTTGTGATGCGACTTGTTTGCTTATTATCTTTCCATCGCGCCTCCCCAACGGGTTCACACCCCCAATAACGAAGCATCTCTCCCATCCCTTCTCTCACTTCCGCTTTTGATCCCAGCCGTTGATTTCTACAACCAAGTCAATCTGCTCTACGGCACACTCACTGAGTTCTGCACACCAGAACACTGCCCCACCATGTCCGCCGGTCCCAAGTAAGCACTCCAAAGCACCTGTCAGGTTCTAGGAAACAATCTCCCGTCGTTTCCAAATCACAATTTCGGTTCCCCTTATGCAAGGTAACAAGCGGGAAATTGATTCTTTTTTTGCCCGTGTCCACCTGTCTGGCAGGTACGAGTACCGGTGGGCGGACGGCGTGCACGTGAAGAAGCCATTGGAGGTGTCGGCGCCCAAGTACGTGGAGTTCCTCATGGACTGGATCGAGACGCAGCTCGATGACAGCACCATCTTCCCCCAAAAGCTAGGTCCGTGCCGCGCCATTTCCACAATAGCTAATCACATAGTGGCCAGTCTCTCACAACACTTATTTCCAGGATGGCTAGAACAGTCCATGTTTGACGAATCACCCTCCTGACTAATCGGTCGAGTTAGATGTATCATGATGCATCCATGGCCCATCCCAACCTTGTGGCACCATCCCATTCCACCCACCCCGTTCCCTTGTAACATCACAGGCGTTCCATTTCCTCCGCACTTTGAGAAGGTGGTGCGCACGATCTTTAAGCGGCTGTTCCGAGTGTACGCGCACATCTACCACTCGCACTTCCAGCGCATCGTTAGTCTCAAGGAGGAGGCTCACCTCAACACCTGCTTCAAACACTTCATCCTCTTCACACATGTGAGTTGCCCCTGGTCTGGCTTGGTCATTCTTTTTTCCTGCTTTTTGCCTCCTCCTAAACCCACTACCCTCCTCCCCACCCCCGCTTCTGCCCTCCATACCCCCTCCCCCACCCCCACCCCCTCCCCCCCCCTCCCCCCCCCCTTCCTCCTAGGAGCCAAATCTCTGCCGCCTCTCTTCCTTTGCCCCTCTCCCATGCTTCTCTCGTGTTGCTAATGTTTCCTGTTTCTTTGCTCCCTGCTTTGCTGAGCATGTTATTTGTTGTGTCGGTCATCACTTGACACTTCCCTAACCCCATGTCAGGAGTTCAACTTGATTGACAACAAGGAGCTGGCGCCGTTGGAAGAGCTTATAGATTCAATCACATAAGCGTCTGGACATTTTCCTGTAGAAGCGTCTGGACATCTTCCTGTAGTCAACGTTTTATTTTGTCCAAGTACAGGAGTTCTAGAGTCTCATATTCAAGGCTGGAGAGGTACTTTAATATATCAGTCAGTCAGCAGCATGTGCTTGAGATTGTGCACACTTTTGTGTGAGTGCATGATGCGCTGTTGTTACAGTTCCAGCACCCACAAGGCTTGCTTTCGCCAAAAGGCTTCGCGAACACATTGCCACCGCGAGTTCCGCGTGTGAGGCTAACGCAACAACATTTCGCTGGGACTCGAGCCGCTTTCGCTGACTCGCATCGCATTCCACACATTTCCAAATCTCAGCATCGCCGCTTATTTAGTCACTGTATCAAGTCCTTGCTACAGCTATCCTTTCTCGCTCCATCCCATGATTCTTGCGGTTGTTGAACGAGCAAGTCCAGTGCTGCGAACCTCTTCAAATATAAGTCAAGTCGACGCTTGGCTGGTTTATTTGCTGTTCTGTCATCTCCATTCGCTGCTCTGCGTTCTTTTGCTTTCGCATTGCATGCTCGAGTCGCCTCAAAAGTAAACTCGCTGCTCGGTTTTCCTTAGCTCTGAAGTGCACC